AACCCAGACACAGGGAGGTAGGTTCCCCTTAGGTTGTTTTTAACTTTCAAAAAAGAAAGTTTTTGAGCAGAAGTGGTAGCTGCCATTTGATGCTCCCTAAAATTCAGATAGTAATAGATAAATACATTCTGTTAGGTAAATGAATAAATGGTACACAGACTCACTACAGCAAAAGACAAAAATCTCTAGTACCTATGAAAGGGACAACATTTCATTGCAAGTGACACTCAGACATTGTTGTAGAAAGCAAAAGCCAATGGAACTGATGGCTAGCCATTAGACGAGCTGCATGTGGCATTCATGACAGTGGTCAATTGCTAGACACACACACTACTGCTAACTTTTGCCTTCCCTAGCGGCATGGCTTCTTGTGTACTGGATATTATGCACACCTGATGCATGAGAATATCGATCAGTTCAGCTAAACAGTAGACCAGCTCTCATCAGTCTGTGACACTCAGTAGAGTGTGAATGCTTGTGTTCTGCTCACAAAATGGAGCATATTGGCCACTGACTGTCTTACTGGGGGAAATACCAGAATGATGTCCTCCTATTGTTCATCTCAGATCTCTAATTCAAAACTTTACCCAAGGGCAGGGTACTTCTTGAACTCAGTTCCCTATAAGGAGGCCCTGCCTAGGCCTACTCTCTTAAAGCAAAGCATCTTCCCACACTGAGGATTTACAAAACATCAATGTCTCTGTGGAAGGCAATGTGATTTGTCTTGTACCTTATTGGAAGCTTTAAAAATTAGGATTCAGGCAGGATGATGATGAAGACACCTTCACACCTTGAGATATCTAAGCACAATTTATACTAGGTTGTCTAGAACTGGCATCCTTTGTTTTGACTCAGGAGAAAGGGATAGTTCAGCTAACAGGCCACATCTGTTCTTCATCTAGGCTAGTACTGACTCTATTACAGTTGAGTTGTGGAATTTGGTACACTGAAAAATTAAAAAAGACTTTACTTAAACTAGGCATGGTAGCACTCAGCACCTGGAGGCAGAGGTAAGAAGACCTTTATGAGTTCCAGGCCAGCCTGATCAGAACTTTAATAAGTTTAAAGGAAAAAAATCCAGGGCAACTTGAAAGTCTAATGCTTTTATTTATTTATATACTATAGGAAAGAATCAGTAGTTCATAAAGTTGAAGAAAATCCATCACAATATAAAACTTTTCCCCTTCTCCACTTGGTGTTTTGGGGGAATACATTTCCAACTTTAAATCAAACTCAACATTTATTTGGAGGCTGAAGGGATGCGGTGCTTTGATTGAGCTCTGCAAAGGCCATGAAGATGCTAAGACTGCAATAAATACCTATTAATTACAGTACTAGGCCAGACACAGGAGAGCTGGGATTAAAGAAGGAAGGAAAGATGTGCTGCTAACAAACCCACCATACTGTAAACACATTAGCCGCTGCTGCCTCAGCTCACTAAAGCCTTTCAAAGAAGCTGATGTGGATTCCAGCTGCTTAGGTTGGCACTTTCCTTTTCCGAGTGAAGCAGTGATTTAATAAACTGGAGAGCAAACTTGCTAATGCAGGTGAAATCAGTGGGATGGAAAACAGCTGAACGGCTCCCAGGAAAGGCCTATCAATCATGTTCCTACCTGATCCACTGCAAGTCTGACCAAGTCAAAATCTCCCTCTTTGTGCCTTTCATCACTACATTAAATCAAATCAGATTAGAATCCCTAAAACCTGTCCTGCATGCTGAGGGCATCTCATCAACATAAATGATGACATAAAAGTTGTTTGAGATGGCAGCTTTGATTTCCTTGTGTTTCTATTAGTATATATTAACCAATTTATCTTTAATATCAGCTGTCTAGTCAATTATGTTAACCATCTTTTTAGACAAATTAGATCTCCCTAAGGAAAATTTAACTCCCAAAAGGCACTTCTGAGTAGGTAATGTCAAGTGGGGACGAATGTAAAATGCATGCGCATGAATACTTCACTAGAATTCAGTGAGAAAACCCAAACACTACTGTCCAAGAAAGCTGATAGAGTATGGCTTGTCAGGGGGTTTACCCTGCCCACAGGCTGCAACCAGATCACCCCTCTTAGAAATGTAAAACGTGCAGACATTGTGGGCTTTTCACCTCAAGACTCCCTATTTCTGTGTTCTAGCATCATGGCTTCACATCTAGCATGAGAGGGGCCGGGACTCCCAACCCTTTGGAGGACACTACCTAGGCTTCCCTGTCCTACTGGGCTACACACATCCATCTCTTTTAAGGAATGTTAGCACCTGTTATTTACGCCTATCCTAGGTTGTTTTGGTGCATTTTGACCCAGGGTTCCATGTCGTCCTGGCTGGTCTCAACTTGCCAAGTAGTTGAGGCTGACTTTGAAATCCTGATCCATTGGCTCCAGCTCCCAAGCACTGCGACTGTATCATATCCAATCAAAAGTATGTAACTTTCTTTTCAGTACTGGGGACTGAACCTAAGGCCATGGGCATGTCAGCCAAATGCTCTACTACTGAGATATCCTGAACCATTCTGTCCTTTATTTTCATCATTAGTTCATATTTCTCTTTCCATGAGTTCCTTCCCCTCCCCCTATAAAATTATTCAAATGTTCCAGCCACTCTGACAAAACCCACCAACAGCAAAACAAACAACAAACTTTGGTTCTAGGAAAAACATTCTGTTCTTGGCATAATTCTCTACCTTTTTATTGTAATAATAGTTTTACTGCATGTGCAACTAGAATTCCTGAGACACCTATAAAAATAAAAACCACCAGACTGCACGACAGAATTATACAATTGAATTAGTCTCACGTGCCCCAGCTGGTACAGTGCCTCTGTGTGGGACAGCAGGGTGCATTTAGCTTAAACACAAACGAAGATATTTACCAGATGTAGTGTCTGCCCCTTCAGGACGTGGTGGCGTTTTTGGTTTTGAAGTAGTACGCTGGGACCCCTTAGGAACTGAAAGACAGAACTCAGATCATGAGTCATTAGGGTTCCTTGTTTCTTAGTTATGCTAACACATCAGTCCTGATGGGGAATAAGCTTCAACTGTGATACAAAAAACAAACAACCCAAGGTAGTAGCAATACAGAGCCAGACAGAAAAGTGAATATAAGCTTTAGAAATAGATGCGGTAGCAATCCAATGAAAATCCCTTGATTTTGAAAAATGAAATCTGAGAAATCACCACATTTGGCAAATCCTCAGGATAAAGAGGCTTTTGTCTTTTTTTTTTTTTTTTTTAATCTTCACGTCCCAGGACACAGGAATTAAGTTAATATAGGGCTTCTTTTTTCTTTCTAGGTACGCTTGCTTGGATGGGGTCACACTAAGTTATAGGGCTGAGAGTTGCAACGGACTCCAAGGGCCAGACATGATTACTATGCCCAGACCACAGGCTTTCGAAACCCTAGTTCTTTGGGTCAGACTTTGCTTTGCTCCTTATCATTAGTTGGAAATAAAACACCTGTCCTACAGGCTGAGCGTGAGAACCACATGTGAAATGTCAAAATGAAGGGACAGCTGTGCTTTAACTTCCCCAGGCCCTTTATCAATTTGGCACTGAAGAAATTAACTATAGCTGTTTTTCACTTTACCTTACTTCTACGAAACTAATAATGCCCATAATTTTGATGGTTGCAAGATCTCTAAGTATGAAATTAATTTAGGGTCATTATTGCCTATGAACACAGAACTTTATTTGCTTTACTGGCTCATAAAATAGTGATGATTTGTTCTAAATTTTAAGTACTGTTTTATCTTGAAGCACCAAATACAAATATGAAATCTGTAGTTTAATTTGTGGATATATTATAGAATAGTTAGAATGATAACCTGCCTATTACAAAATTTAATGCTGAAAAGAGAGGTGGGTAAACAATATTGTGCTGTGCATTGAGATGCACAGTAGTGTTAGTTAACATATGGTCAACTGATTAGGCAGTATTCACTCATGCAGGTGGCCTCTGATATTCAAAGGCAACAAATGAGAAATGGAGATCTGAAATATTTATTTTTCATACATTTTATGGGGCTGGCAAGATGAATTGGTGAGTAAAGGATCTTGCACCAAACCTTATGACCTGAGTTTGATATTCAAAACTGACATGGTTGAAATAGACAAGTTCCTAACATTTGCCTCTGACTTTCATACTTGTGGAGTGGCGTGCGTGCGTGCGTGCGTGCGTGCGCGTACGTGTGTGTGTACACACACACACACACACACACACACACACACACACAGTGTAAATAAATATAAATGTAAAACAACAATATTTTATGGTACTTATGTGCGCATGCACACATCCTTGAAAGCTTATAAAAACCTAATGAATTATTTGGATCTGTTTTCTCTTTTTTAAGAATCATATTCTCATGTTGAAAGGGAGAGATTTAACTTCTATCACTTAAAAACATCATTATAACGCATTTTGATTTTCATTATTAGTTTTCCCTTATGTTAAATACCACTGCAAAGGTCAGAAGCATTTTGGTTGCAGCTGCTGTCACTGAAAAGGTTGATGGACTAGAAGCTGCCTCAGTTGCAACAAAACCAAGAGCCTCTTTCAAGATAGTTCAGGAACCCCTCCGACACCCTAGAGTGAGCATGGAGTGAATGGGGTTAGTCGTAATCATTCTGAGTTTATAGATCTTGTGTTGGTTAAAGAGCTAATTTAAAATTAAACAAATTTACATTTTATGGTTTAATAATAGAAAATCATAGCAGGATCCTAATTTACTGTACTGAAATATATTAAGCACAAAATATTCCTCAAAAAGATAAAATCATGATTAGGTTTTCCTCGTAGTTTATGTGCCCCCTCACTTAACTTTGTAAATAGGAATTTATAGTCCGGAAGTCCGAATGCCTAGTGTTTCTTACCTTATCATTTTCTTGTTTTTAAAATTTTTGTTTATCTTTATCTATTACTCTTGTCCTATGCTGTATGTACAATAAAATTCTGAGAGCTGTTTGCCATGTCATTTTAACAACTATTCAATTTTATAACTTTTTACACCACCAAATTTAACATACCCAAATTATTTAATAAGAGTTACTTAAAATTTTTGACATATTTAGCCCTGTTGTATTCACTAATTATCATTTTTTAATTAATCATTAAGCACTTTACCAGGACTCCACATATCTCAATATTCTAAGTATTCATTGTGATATAAAATTTTTAATTCTTTGGAGGAATGTTGCATTTGTACCTTCATATATTTACATCTCAAAAATATTGTCACAGTAAAATTTGGTAATTAATATGAACAGATTTAGAAATACACAAAGCAGGGCAGATTTTTAATCATTAGTGAGATATAAAATAGAGAGTAGCCTGGCGGTGGTGGCACACGCCTTTAATCCCAGCACTCGGGAGGCAGAGCCAGGCGGATCTCTGTGAGTTCGAGGCCAGCCTGGGCTACCAAGTGAATTCCAGGAAAGGCGCAAAGCTACACAGAGAAACCCTGTCTCGAAAAACCAATATGTATATATATATATATATATATATATATATATATATATAGAGAGAGAGAGAGAGAGAGAAGTCTTTGAATCAGTTTTCCTAAAAAAGAATAATAAACAGATCAACTTATAGAGGTCATACCTAAAACAGTAACAGAAATCCTGAAATTATTTAAATTATTCCTGGTAGGATTCAAGAATTACCACATGGATCAAAGCTAATATTGATACTGATAAATATTTTCTTTTCCCACTGTGGATCATTAGTAAACCTTTCCTGGTTTAGTGGCTAGGTGGACCTTGGATAATTTTTGGAAGCGGGACTCAGATTAGTGCTCATTTAAATTGGGTGATTAGCAAGGCAGTGGGAGTACATCCTGGGACCGCAGAAAGGTCAGGAAGATAGCCTAAATTGTAGGAAAAGGGAAGCAAGCAGCTCTTCTAAGAAAACCTGGTCTTGGCCATTCCTATCCGAAACAATAAGAGGTTAGGAAAGCTTCGTGGATTAAGCTCTCCCAGTGATGTGCTTTCTGATGAAGTCCAGAAATAACAATAAATACTATAGGCTACCAAGGAAAGGAAACCTTCTTTGACCGTGGCTAAAAATTCAGTTTGCTGTAACCGAGAAACTCACTGTCTTAGAAGTGAAAGCATAAACTTGGTCATTACCTGGTGGTTGTGGTGGGATTCTTGGGCGTGGTGTTGTTTTGAGCTTGGGAGGAGTACCGGGTGTCTGCCTGGGAACTAAAAGAAAGACACAGATTCACAGATTTGGAGCCCCTGACCCTTTCAAGAACTCCAGTGTTTTCTAGAAGCTCAAGGGTATTTGCTGAGTGACCAAAGATAAATAAAGCCAAGAATTGCTGTCAAAATCTCCAGAGAGCTGCAAAGAAGAGGAAGATTATGGATACAGGATAAACAGATTAAACATACCTCAGATATTCAGCCTACAGCAGAGAACTGCTGGTGTTTTAGAAATGCCTACTTCAAATACTTTTTAAATAGGTTAAAAATGAAGCGCACAGTAACAAAGTCATCTCATTACTAATCCACATGTCATCATGGATCCTCAACTGTGTTCTTTAAATACAAACACACCTTTTCTAAACAAAGAAATTACCATGATAAAAATTCAAGCAAGATTTAAGTAGCAAGTCTGATGGAAAAATTAATCTCACTAGACAAAGCACAATTTTAGTGGTTATTCTGGGGAAGAAAAACCAAACACCAAAGAGACTTTGCTGATGAGTATTCCTTCCCTGGAGAGGCTTAAGGCAGGCTCTAGAGAAACTGGCATGAAAATCATTTGTTTCCTTTGGTGAGAAAATTAAAGGTGTGTCCCAACAGCGAAAAGGATTATCAGGTCTGGGGCTGCAGCCTCTGAGACCACCGCCTTCGGTGGAACTAAGATGTGTGGGGAATAAAGAAAGATCAGAAGACACAAAATGGTATCCACAGTGTCATGCGGTTTTAGACACCTTAAGAAAAAAAAAAAACTGCTGAAAATAAGAATCATTTGGCACTGGAGTTTAATGAAAAGAAACAAAGTGGTGTTAATATTATGTAGTTTTAGCGCCTTTAAGAAATATTCACTAAGGACAAGTTGTTAGACACCGGACGTTTGTGTGAGACTCTGCCTGATAATAAATGGGAGCATACGGGGTACACGGTGGTTTCGATGCACTTCTCGAGCCTGTGAAGAGATAAAGACTAAGATACACAAGAGGTTATTTATCTTTTTTTTTTTTTAAAGATTTATTTATTTATTATGTATACAGTGTTCTGTTTGTATGTCTGCAGACCAGAAGAGGGCACCAGATCTCATTATAGATGGTTGTAAACCACCATGTGGTTGCTGGGAATTGAACTAGGGACCTCTGAAAGAGCAGTCAGTGCTCTTAACCTCTGAGCCATCTCTCGAACCCTTATTTATCTTTTTTAACTAGCCTAGTGGTTTGGAGCATCATTTGCTAATCAGGGTCAATGAACACATTCTCTACCAAAACTGACACGATGGTTAAGAAGTGTTCTAATCCTAAAATTAATTATTTGAGCATTGTGGTGATATTGTGTTCCCCAATATATCATGCACCCTAATAAACTTATCTGGGGTCAGAGAACAGAACAGCCACTAGATAGACATAGAGACAAGAAAATGGTGGCACACACACCTTTAATCCTAGCATTCTGGAGGTAGAGATCCATCCAGATCTCTGTGAGTTCAAAGCCACACTGGAAACAGCCAGGCATGGTGACTCCAGCCTTTAATCCTAGCACTTGAGATCTCATGTCTCGCTTGGGAAAGACACATGCCTTTAATTCCAGGAAGTGATAGCAGGAAGCAGAAGGGTATATAAAGCGTGAAGACCAGGAACTAGAGTCTTTTTAGGCTTTTTAATTTTTTAGGCTTTCGAGCAGCAGTTCAGCTGAGATCCATTTGGGTGAGGACTCAGAAACTTCCAGTTTGAGGAAATAGGATTGGCTGAGAAGTTGCCGAGGTGAGGTTGGCTGTGGTTTGTTCGGTTTCTCTGATCTTTCAGCGTTCACCCCAATACCTGGCTCCGGGTTTGTTTTTATTAAGATTCATGTTACAGAGCATATTGGTGATGTCATAGTGCAGGCCCCTTTCTTGCTAAGGTCCCAACTAATGTGCTATTTGCTTTCCCAGGGCATAAAAGGCCATGTGAAGACAAAGGCTTGTTGAGAAGCAATTCCAAATGTCATCCTTGACTGGTAGGTAGACATGGGGTATACATCTGTGAGTTCAGTACTAGGGAGTTTGAGGCGAGATCTGGGCCAGGCTGGGCTACATGGCAAGTGTTTGTTCTCATAAAACAACAACAAAATTAAAAAAAAAATCACAGATAATATATAGAATTAGACACTCAATAATATGTTAATCAGTTACTGAAAGAATTTTTTGGCAGTGATTGTTATAACTGATATGAGATATATCCCATTCATATAGTTGATGTAGAATTTGAGTAAAAAGGTTAAACTGGACCATGTATTAGGCAAAATTATTATATAAGTGATGAAAATTAATATCCTGCCTCCCTTGGAAATAGAAACATATAAAATATTTTTGGGAAGGGGGTATGAGACAGTATCTTACTATTTGGCTGAGGTTGGCTTTGAACTCAGAAATCTTCCTGTTTCAGTCTCACAGAATGCTGGGTTACAGATGTGAACTCCACACCTGGCTTAAAAATAATTCAATGACAACCAGAACAGAAGCCTGGGCCTATTTATGGTTAACTCCTATTCCATGGGACACTGGAGGTACTGCAGAATTTTTATTAACCATGAAGGTGATTTGCTTTCATTCACATCAAAATCCATCATCAAGGAAAACTTTATGACTAATGTTTGATAACAGTTTCTCTAATACCAGGGGGGAGGGTACAGCTACAGGCTGGACTATTGAAAGAAGGAATGGACAGTAGTGAGGCCTCTGAATAACAAGAGGATCTGTCAATATCCATTTATATGGATTATACAGCAAAATCTGTTCCTGACAGTATTATATAATTTCAAACATGAGTAAGCTATCTCCAGATACTTTATCTTTACAGTTATAAAGCTAGTCAAGATGACAAAGCAATCCATACATACACACACACATTCTATATATATAATATTATATATATATATACATTATATATAATAGAATATGCATGGTCTTTCTCCTAAATATTTCTATTTACTGAACTAAAAACTTGAAGAGTAGTGGAGAGGTAATTTTGTTTTGTTTTGTTTTGGTTTTTTGAGACAGGGTTTTTCTGTGTCCTTTTGGCGCCTTCCTTGGAACTCACTCTGTAGCCCAGGCTGGCCTCAAACTCACAAAGATCTGCCTGCCTCTGTCTCCCACGTGCTGGGATTAAAGGCGTATGCTACCACTGCCTGGTGAGAGGTAAGTTGCATCATTATGTTAAAGGTTTACGCACTGCTGTTTGAGAGTGATTGCTAATGGCAGACGAGAGATGTTATGTCAGAAAGGCAGGCTCACCCATCAAAGGCTGAGGTGAATGATAGCCAGGGCTTCGGATGGACGGGTCATGTTGTCGTTTTGCAAACACTCACCTCATATATGAAATGCAAAATAATGTATTTACCAGGTTCCATCTGAGGCTCCTCTGGTCTGGGTAGGACTATAGTTTGGGAGGGCAGAGGTGATGTTTCTATGGTAATTGAAGGAAATTATAGTGGGGTTACTACAGTGCTAGACACACTCAGATTACAGACAACAGTCAGGATGGAGACAAACAGACATCAAAAATAAGAAAATGGCTAAATTTCATCAATAGGTTATGATCCTCAGTCAAATAGTACTGAGCTGGCAGTGAATACGATATTAGGGAAAATGCTACATTTTATATTCCACAGTCTGGCTGGCATGAGAATAGTATGAGACCAAGATCATGATGGTAAATGAAGAGACACTTTGGACGATGATTATGAATAGGAACAGCTAGAAAGAAAATTCAATGACAGAGAAAGCAGGTGCCACATGAATTCACAATGAGGGTGATATTGAGACTCTTGGGTGATGACGCAATGAAGACAGAGAACACAGATATGTGCTGCTGAGGATGTCATTACCTAGCATGGTCTCAGGAAGCCCAGACACATGTGTAAGAGAGTCCACAACTGCATCAAAACAAAGGAGAATGAGTTTAAAAACAGTGAGATGTTCAGCTCCACAAGTGTTTGAATATTCACAACCTCATTCTTAAGAATTTGTGTCATCATTTATAGACAGGACAATTTTGGATTGTGTTTTAGATAGGGCAAAAGGAGGAAAGTCATATTTCATAGTACTTAACCTCTAATAGTCATATTTTATCAGCAACTGACTTCCAAATGTGACTATGCCTTGATCTTCAGATCCTAACAAATAGGACATTATTTTTTTCAGAGAGCATCAACTATCATGTTAATTCTAAGAATCAAAGAGCAGCTGGTGTGTGTGGTTCATTGCTAAAGCAGATGCAGAACACATGTGAATCCCTAGAGTGAGCCCTAGTAAGGAGCAGGAGTGGGGGGGGTAGGTGGATTGGTAGGTGGAATGGAAGTGTAGCTATTCAATTCTGTTCATCAAGTATCAGAGTTTACATAGCAGAATAAGTGAATCATAGCATGAAACCCTTTACCACCTTCTGTCCTTGGCTCCTCTGGCCTAAGAGGTTCTTTGATAGTGGTATCTACATAATCGGTTTCAGCTGGTGCTGGGGGAGAAACACGAAATGACTCGTTAGTGGTGGGCAGTGAAAAGCAGGCTGTCACAGAGTCACAGAACCCTGAATTTAACTGAAAATACGGGTTTAGTTATCTAGATCATGAAAACTGCTGCAATTTAGTAGAGTAAAAATGAAGTGATGCTTGCTGTATGAGAAACAGAGATAGACAGACAGATGTGTACACGTACACACACACACACACACACACACACACACACACACACACACACACACACACAAATGACTATCAGAGTCCATTACAGCAATTATTACTCAGAGTAGTTAGTGTAGATAATTTTACTTCCTTATGTATTTTTGCATAACTATTTTAGTAAGGGAAAAAGCTATAGGATGAGTCCTTTGGAAGTATGAAAATGAAGCGTTAAAATGATATGAAAATGATAAAATACATGTAAGCATATGTACAGATTCGTGTGTAGATATACAAAGAATAATCAGAATTTTAAAATTATGAATTTCATTAACTGAATGGAAACTATGAAATCTGAACTGCAGTATAGCAGATACTATCTAGCATGAGTTACTTTATTCATAATAGCTCTGAAGACCTATTGGATAGGCACAGAGAAGACATGAGGAGCAGGTGGCTTTGAGAGGTCACAAAGCTTGACAACATCCAGTGATGCATTTTGCAATGAGATGGAAAAGCACATATTCTTGACTTTCCCATTGGAAACATTTTTACCTATTGTCTTCTGTGGTGACTCAGTGCTAAACGCAACCAGTTCCCGGTCATCAGAAACTAGTAAATGAAACAATGGTACAGCTGGTCAAGGATGTGCTGTTGTCTAATTTACTTAATATTTACAGACTAACTGTTAAGGGGAGTGCTGGGTACCTGGTAAGTGAACAAGTTGCCTGGTTCTGATAAAACCATCACATTAGCATAAGCACTAAAGGAAACCCTAGCAACTGTGAGCTGAATCCACAACATCACTATTTTGGCTATTGTCAGTAAACACACCTTATATCTTCAGTAGGAGTACCAAACTGTCATCTCATCTAACTAAAAGATAGAATAAAGAAAGTATAATCCTATGCTTTGAAAAAATGGAATCCAATTTTTCAAAACTAAGCTTTAGAGGACAGCAGCATTATTCCTAATACTGACATGCAAAGTTTGTAATTTGAAAGATGGTATGTTTTAAGATTCTCTATATTTAAGGAACTCAAGAAGAATCTTTACTAAAATGGTGTTTTGGTTCTTCAGTGGTTACAAATGAACCAGAACTCTTTTAGTGTTTGAGCCCACATTTAGCTTTCTGCTTCATAGAACCACACTTTATAGCTGTGGATAAAATTAAGAAGACATATAACCAGTCCTTAGAGGTTTTACTGACTGCTAACAGTGTGATTGTTCTCCAAAAGATATAGAGCAAACTCCATGAAACAAAGGTAGATATTTTGTATATAATGGAATAATAGAAGATAAAGTATTACTAATTTAACATCCATGTGTAACCATGGGAAAAGGAGGTTTTATATCTGAGCATACAACACAGAGGGTATTGTAGTAGATTTCTGAAAGTCTTCCTGCAGCCCGATAGATAAATCAAGCAATTTACCAGATTGACTATGTGTCATTTCTAGGCTTGGTGAAGTCACTGGTTTCAAAACAAGAGTTTGCAGTTCAGTGGGAGCTGGAAAAAGAGAATTTAAGTTAGCATGTGAATCTTTTTTCAAAAAATTTTAAGTGTTGGAAAAAATGACCAGTATTTTATGTCATGTAAAATATGAAAATGACAAGAAACTCAAAGTCTTATTGGAACATGGACACAGCATAAGCCAGAGTGATCCAGGGCCTATCCACATGCTAACCTTGTTGCCTCTTACCTACAACAGCAGAAGTAAACAGTTGTGATGAAGACTGAATGGCCTGCAAAGTCTGAAACTTTTACTATCTAACCCTTCTTAGACTAAAATCGCTGACTCCTGATTTGAACCATCCTCCTTGGAAAGAAATTATTAATTTGTTACTCAGCATCACTAGAGGCTCCCTCAGAAACCTAAGCCACAGCATTCATCTGTTAACTAAAGTAATGAATATTAATACTCATGGATACGCAGCAAGGTCTCTACTTAGTAAAGAGCAGGAGCAATCAGTAAACCATGGAGGAGCTCATCACTGATGTAGAAGCCTGGAGCTTCCCTGTACAACTTATCTTATTGACAACAGGGATACCTCATGGCTTAAAACGAGAGTAATAAGCATAGCACACTAATTTTATGGCAAGTAAGTTGCTCAGAAGGAGGCTATGTGTTTTAATTATTGTAGCTTTATGGATCTAACTACCAAAGAGAGGAGCAGTAATATGGACCTCTGGATTTTCAAAGAGAATGTCATAGCATTCTTCCAGTGGTTCCAAGGATGGTTGATAAATGACAGGCCGGTGACACTTGAGTTTCCATGATGACTGACTATAGAGTATGAAATGGCATTCTAACCACAATCTTACAAAGCATGAACAATGTTGGCATGACAGCAAGAAAAAAAATTCCCTGAATGTCACAAAAATCATTATCCAATGTTGTTTCTGGAGACCCAGTACTATGAATATCAAGTTCAAAGCCCAGAACAAGATGAACATGAGAAAATTTAACACCCACAAAATGCCTTAAATTTTCTTTCAAAACCCAAGTTTCAAATGACAAACATGTTTTTAAATTTTAGAACTAACGGGAAGCAAACAGTTGCTTTCTGCAAAGTTGGTCGCAGTAGCCAAAAACGTGGAAAACAGTCAACAACTTTGACCTTGGCTACGTATTTCTTAGTTCTGTCCACATAAGAGATTCCTAGGTACATGGTTTTCTGGTTATAGTTAATATGGAAGACGGCTTTGGAAATTTTCTTAGACAATGTGTATAAAAGTATATATGGAAGCAGTGTGTTGTAGTTCTTGGAAGTTGCAAAAAAAAAAGTATCTGCTTATGTAACCAAGGCTAGAGCAATAGATCTTATGTTTCAACGCCAATACATAACCACGAGTAAATAATGCTAATCTTGCCATGAACTCATCTTTAAAGAGAAGAACTTGATCCAAACCAAGTTACTTGGGGAATTAGGGACATATTTCCCCAAGTCATGCTTGTATGAGAAGCTCTTTAGGGGCAGCTATTAACTGGACCCAATGACTTCATTTACTTAAAGAGCATGAGAACATCAGCTTCCCATTGCTGGTATGACTTTGGGACCCATCCAGGACAGACTGCTAGCAGCCCTCAAAGCAGGCATTCCACATTTACCCGACTTGGACTCAGACATATCAGTACTTGCTGTGGTTTTAGGTCTGGGATGTGGACGTTGTGTCCGATGTACTTTAGAAGCTGAAGGAAGAAACTTTATATTAATTTCATGCTGTTGCTTTTGAAAACAAAGATTGGGGTTAAACTACATTTCCTTGAAATCTGGGGCATGTATTCTTGGGGTTAAAATATCTTCTATTTATTTTTAATCACCAAAGATTCTTAAGAAACCTAAAATATAAAATTAAGTCAAAGAATGAGGAGAGCCATAGATCTCTAACCTCAAACAAAATGATGGCTAAACTCCAAGTGTTAGGACCTTAGGTTGACACTGAAAATTTTCAGCATTCCCAAGAATTCATTGCACCATGATATTGCTATAGTTTACCCTGTCTAGATAAAATACAAACACTACTAGCTGAATTTGAAATTCAGCTTTGGATGGAAGCACTGTTTAGACAAAAATACACTACAAATTCAAATAAGATAACAAGCATAGCAATATTCTACGTCCATGGTAGCTTTTAAAAGAGGTAACTTTAAGAGCCTTTAGTGTTCTCAAAAAGCAGTAGGATATGAAGTTGAAGGATGGCGGATGGCAAGACCATCTAATGAAGCAAATGACAAATGAATTAGGATGGCGGTGGAATGCGTTTTGAAAAGAAGCAAGAAAGAACATTCCAGAATACAGTGCCATTACCTAAGGTTGTTGTTTCAGGAGCCTTGGTTCTAAGAGTGACAGGTTCAAGGGCTGTAGCAAGAACTAGATAGAAAGGAGTAAAATAAACCAAAGACAAATTAAAATTCATTTCTAAGGCTAATTTTGAGAATATCTTTAGTCTCGAAACTAATAGAAAAGAGATAACTGCTTTTTCCATCTCTGGCTAAACTATGGCTAGGTGCCCACTATTTCATGACATAGACTTGAAAGATGGCATGGTACACAGCTAACTGTGTGTCACAATGCATGAGCTGTTCTTCTAGACATGTGATTGCCTACCCCTCATGAGTACTGTGGCATTCTGTTGATCAGGCCTTTATATATTTACATGATAGATGCCTTTCTAACTAGACAAGAAAGCTTTATTAGTCTTCTTGACCTTCTACAGAACCCAAGATGGCTACCTATAGCATTTCTTGGTCTACTATTTAAATAACTCTATAATTAAAAGTTCACTTGTGGGAAAATATGAAGACAAACTGATGAAATGTGCTCATCAAAATCCCAAAGTGATGCTTGATTTAAAAAGACCATAGAACCTGCTAGGGAAAGGAGTCTCTATCATGAAAACTTAGGGTTTAAACATTTCAAGAGCATGCATCTCCAAGTTTGACAAATTCCTAAAAATCATCATTCCTTAAAACTATTGCTCCAATGTATCATAAAGGTTCCAGGATGCCAAAAAGCATTCTGAAAAAAGCATATTTTCACAATTGTCAAAGCATAGACAGCATGAATATGATGGATGGAAACACAGCCGTAGTCTGCACTGTTTAATAATGCACATGATCACAACATGGTATTGAGTAGTGAGTTACATGGCAGTTTGATGTCCTGAAGTTAGTACATGCAATGGTGCTCATAAATTCAACTAATAATGTGGTAGAGAACGGAGGACAATTTCAAGATAAAGACTGTAATGGAGTGACAACAGAGGACGATGATGGGATGGTCCTAAGATGCAGAACTAGTGACATGGTGGATGATATGACACAGAAAAGCACCACTGTCGGAAAGGACACACATTCTCATTACCCACAGTCGCAGGAGCTTCGGTTCTAAGAGCACTGGGTTCAAGATCTGTAGCAGCAACTAATTAAAGGCAATGAAATAAACATGTGAGAAGTCAGTAAGACAACAATACCCCCTTCCTGGAATAAGCGGAGAGCAAGGTTAAGAAACTGTCTGCATTTTAATACTTGTTACTTGATGATTTGGCCACCTTGTACCCTGGTAAACATTTATTTAAGAAGTACTCAGTTGCTGCCTATGCTTTGTGCTAAACGTTTTAAATTTAAATATTTACCAAAGCTGCACAGATATAACTTCTGTGATCATGGGCTTTTGTATGAAAGCTTTAAGAAAATAACATTTCTAAATCTGCACAGATAGAGCAAATGGTTTTTCTGTATAAGATACAGCCAAGGATAAAGCAAGTGTGTCATATGAATCCTGAGAAGCCGTGTGTAGGGTTGGGCTGGGATCTCATTTGTAATAAAGGTGCTCAACAAACCAGGACAGGAGACATCTCATAAGTGTGATACTGAGTGGAACAGCTCTCTACTCTCCTTATGGGAATAGAGTGTTCTAGATGGATAGGAAGATCACAGATGCTTTCTGGGTCAGATCCAAACTTTTGAATCACTCCTTCAAGAACTAACTTCCTTTAACTGTTCTTAGGGAATTTTCCCATCACAGTACTCTGTATAACACTGACATTTTGTCTTTAAGAGAAGAATGCAATTAAATTAGTAGTAACAAATCAGGTATGTGGTAATGACACTTATATGCAGAGAGCACAAGCAATTCAGCTGCCACACAGGACCCCGATGTCTCCCTCATATACATGGCAGTGGTGGAAGAAGCAGGTCCAAGTGCCTTCAGCCGCATGAGCTAACACTTCTACCACCTCCTGGCTCCCCCCGAGCTATAAGTCCCCCTGTGATCAGAAACTTGATTTACCAGGTTTAGTTAGAGGCGCCTTAGGAGCTGGTGTGGTTTTAGGTTTGAGGCGTGGACGGCGGGGCCGTTTTGTTGTTTTAGGAGCTGAGGAAAGAACATCTTCAATTATTACAATATCTGTAGTTCAAAATCTATGGCAGGAAATGGTGCTAAATTTAGTAAAACTTACCAGATTTTCTCATATTTTAGACAATTCGACTAATTTTTCAACTTTTTAGTTAAAACTTTCAGTCATATTATATTTCCTTGTTTCCCTTTACAATCAAAGGCCTATTGAAAGAGGAGTCACATGTAAAATGTAGTGGGTAGGTCAAGAAGTGAAGAGCAAACAATCAAACTTTTATAGAATAAACGGGTTGAGGAGCCAGGAACAGTAGAACACACCGTAATCTCAGCACGTAGGAGGCTGAGACAGGAGGAACACTAACTAGCTCGAGGATAACCCACCTGAGATACTTAGAAAATCTGAGGCTGGACAAGGTAGGGAGAACCAGTCTCACACAAAGTCAAGAGAATCACTGTTATAACATGGTGGTGGTAAGTGATGACGGAGCAGGAGTTCTTTGATCGTTTGTTAAAGCAATACTGCACATATAATTAGCCGACATGTCAATCAAAGAACGAATGTCACATGGTAAAAGCAAATGAATAGTTAAAGAGAAGTTCAGATCTTTAAGGAAACCTCTCAGTACTATAGAGATTGTTAAAGTTATGAGAACTTCTTTTGAGAGTCACATTCTTCAAAGCACACACAATGGCAAAATGATGTCACATGGTTACAAGCCTGACAGATGGTAGGAGTTAGCTTTATGGTTGGTCTCACAAGAGGTGAGCTCTTTGAAGAGTCATAGTCTTCAATCCTTTCAGAATGAAGACTTTCACAGAATGGCAAAGAGGGTGATGGTGTCACCACAGAAAGCAGAATGCATGACTATGACATTGATGTCATGAGTTTGGCAATGACAAAAGAGGACGTAGCCAGGACTACAATGTGATATTACCTTTTGTTGTCACCCAAGTCTCAGTTCTGAGTGTCACAGGTTCAAGTTCTGTTGTATGAATTGAGCAAAGGTCAAATAAACCAGATGATTGCTTTATATAGTTGAGCAGTAAAATCTCTTCATTATGAATCTTCCTAGCATAATATAGTTTCTATAACAACATAACACCTTTAAAAACTATTAAAATGGAAAAGCAAGCAGTTGACTTCCTAAAAATCTGTCATACCTAAGTCAGGCACCTACTTTCTCATTCATCATTCTTAATAAGAATAATCTAATTAATTATTAATAATCTAATAATTGATATTTGTAATAGAATATTATTTTAAGGTGTGTTACTTTTGTTTATGTTGCCTTTATTTAACTCTGTGAAGCTGTGTTACTGTGCCTGTCTAAAACAACTGATGGTCTAATAAAGATTTGAAAGGCACGAGAAAGGCTAGGCGGGGCTGGCAGGCAGAGAGAATATACAGAGGAAGAAATCTGGGAGGTAGTAGAAGATCTAGGATCCAGAGGAGGAGGAGGACATCAGGGGCCAGCTGCCCACCTACACAGCAAGCCATGGAGTAAGAAGAGTAAGATTGGCAAAAAATAAGCCAAGCTAAGGCTGAGCATTGATAATTAAGAATAAGCCTTCTGTGTGTGATTTATTTGAGAGCTGGGTAGCGGGCCCCCTAAAAAGAGTAAAAAACAACAACAGATATTATTAACAATTTCTAATTAGTGATCCAAACAATGTATTGATGCTGAGAATTAATTATTAATAATATAAATGATTAATTGATATTATTAATAATTAATTAATGATCCAAAATGGACTATGAAAGCATAACTTAGAGCTCATACTTGGAAAGAGACTGAGGCATCAGCGTGATGAATTGGTGGGACTCCTTCATCACAGACAGAGCAGGAGTATGCCTTTATGAGAGAGAAGAGGCTGCTGATGTCTGCCAGACCAATCCTCTGCGGCCCTATCACATTCCTACGGCCTTGACTATGCATGTCCAAAGACTGGTTAAGGTGTGAAGGAACTTTCCTACAACCTAGAAGGGAGAACTCCTCCATAGCAATATTCCAGAGACTCCTCTCATTGTCCTCATTTATATCTCCCCCCTCCTCACTTCTATCCTCCTTTCTTCTCGTGGGCCATGTTCTAATGGGATTTCAAGACTCCTTCTTAGTCTTTATTTCCTGGCTCCAAACGTTTATGTACCTAACACATTTTGTTTACACCCCACAAATTAATTTTACACTTGCATAGATTCTTCCTATGCCATCGTCAACCATATTTATAAAAAAAAGGGTTTCCACTCTGTCTTACGAGTTTGAAAATCAAGATATATCTCCCATATTTGTCTCACTCAAAAGTGTTAGTAGGATTAGTTAGGAAGAGATGGGAGGTACTTCATAATGCTTTTTATTTGAACTGAAGAATTTGAATTATCCTGAAGAAATTTGATTTTTTAAGAGGCAAGAGGAAGTTATAAAAATGTGTGGTGATTGAGAAGACTATACACAGGAAGCAGTGGGTATCCAATTGCCTGCAGACTTCCCTCACTCAGCCTTGCTTGCTAAAGAGCTGTACAGTGGAGTTACTGTGACGCCCCCTGGCCCCCGATGTGCATCTTTGCTCTCATGGGGATACCCTGCAGGCTCTCAATCTTTCAGATAACTTCCAAGGCCTTGCTAGGTCACACTGCTGAGCTTGTTTAAACAGGGTGCATATGCTTTACCTAGCTTGGACTTGGGTACTTCAGGTCTTGTTACATGCTTTTGTTGGGAATGGGAATGATGTTTTTGTTTTGATGTTTTAGGAGCTAAAGGAAGGAATTATTGGGTTACTATATATTTTCATTATTTTTGAGTCAGGAAGCCATGGAAGGTGAAAAGACGATAGCTTGCTGGTTTTTACATATACATCATTTTGGATTTTTTTCAATCATAAATTCTATGAAGAAAAAAGTTACCATTTAGTTATAGAGATAAGGGCTGGTAATTATATCTAAGTGTCATAAGGGGACATGGCTAGAAATAAAATAGGTAGGAACCATCTCTAAATTTGAATGGATAGTGGACATTTCCACTATCTATGATTTGTGATTTATAATTTAATCTTTCAAATCTGTGATATGTTCTCTATATAATCATCAAAATAAACCTTATTGAATAGAAACAAAACAACAAGATTTGCACCAGCAGAAAAAGTGAAATGTAAGTGTGCCACGGGCCCTTTGAGCCCCATGAAGTTGTTAATGGCTTCTCTGTGTAGCTGAGACTTCTGATATGTTTGAAACACAGCTTTAGTGAAACACCCCTTAAAACAAAACACAAAACAGGGCATACTTCAAGCAGGCAACATGGCAGATAAATGGCCCAAAGAAGTTTCATGTATGACATCTTAAAATCAGAATAATCATAGTCTTCACAATTTTTAGGTGAATATAACTGAATGGCCACAAAGAATGACCCAGCTGCCACATGAAGTGACATTAAACTCTTGGTGTGACAGTAAGAAGACCTGTTACAAAAATAGCTTAACAACATTACCTAGTGTTACTGGGGCCTCAGGTCTAGGAGTGACAGGTTCCAGGGCTACAGGAAGAAGTGGCCAAAAACAACACAATAAGCCAAAGAGATTTCAAAGTGCATATTTACGTTAGAACATTTACATAACCTACATTTTATATATTATATATATATATGATTAGAATATCAATTGTCCCAAGGGAAATATATAATAAAAATTTTATCTGAAAGAACACTGTTTAAGCAATTGCTAAACTTTTGTCCTGATGGCTGTTGGGCTTAGCTTTTTAACTACCCTAAGTAAAGAAGTCAGTGTGACATTCTACAAGGCTTTTAATAAATACAATGGAAAATATTGTAAAGCATTTACTTAATATATTCTTAGAAAAGTTAAAAGCATATCGTGAGTCCCTATGTTTGAGAAAACACTGACACAACAGAAGTTTGAAACATATATAAAAATAATCATTCACATGGCTTGTGTGTTGATCTTGCCAATCTTGTGGAATTTGATACCTCTGCACAAACCATTAAAGAGTAGCATAAAAGGCAGCTACTAGTCTAACACCCAATGGAGCATCTGTGTTCCCCATAAGAATAAAAGGTGGAAATCAAAGAGGCTGTGTATGATAACAGTGTCTCTGTAATCTATCCTACCTAAACTCTGAATCAAATCCTCAAAATCCTCCTTCTACTGCCCTGATGGACCCTTCCAAATGTAGTCCATCTGGACGCTACTATATTTCTGGCTAAACTGCACATATGTCTGGTCTCTCTATTTTCTCTTTTTTCCATTGATCAAAATCTTATAGTATATCCAAGGTCCAAGCTCAGACAACCATAACATTTTTTCTAGATTCTAGATTGTCACTTTGTGGGTTTATTGTGCAGCAAGCCTCAGTTTTGTTGTATAAGAAGTTTTTTTAAAAAAAAAACCCTCTACAATGGATCTATGATTTACAGTTGCAAATGTGAGTCTGGGAATTATGTAAAGTGCTCAGGATTTGGTCGCTTGAACTAAATACACTTGGTTTGCTAGTGCAGTTTCACTATTAAGATTTGAATACAAATGCATCGTGTGAAATTTGTACTAAATATAAAGTTGCAATAAAGGGTCTTACATGGAAAGAATAAGGTACTCTAGCTCCCACGAGAATGGGTCTCACCTACCCATATTGTCCTTCAAACACCCACAGAGAAGTTATTGATATTGCCTCCTCTTCTCACACTAAGGGAGTGTAAGAGCTGCTACTGCCTACTGCATTGCTTTGAGTCTCTGATGGGACAGACCACTGAGGCTCACCCAGAAGCCATTTAACTCCCAATTTACCAGGTTTTGTCTGAGGTGCTTGAGGGCTCATTGTGGCTGTAGGTCTGGGTTTTGGACGGCGGGTTCTTTGTGACATTTTGCTAGCTGAAGAAAGAAAAGCCTCGTGTTATTTTGGATCTTATGGCCCTGGATACTAGAGAGCTTTCTACAGCTCTCAGATTTCCTAAAAGTTGGGGAGATTGGTCCTTTAGTTTGTCTTTTTCACTCTTTTTAAACAAGCATGCCTTCTTTTTGTCATTGATGGTGATTTGAAGTAAATTCCTGTTCACAGTTGAGTTGCTCATTCAAGGCAAGGAGATTATCACTCATTGCAAAAAAGTCATAGAGCCCCACTTTGGGGAAAATGACTGGGAAGGAATCATTTAATAAAGGGTTGGGGAGATTTGGATCATATTTAGGTGGAGGTCTATAATTTGACATTTCATATGGGTCATCTCCACTTTGTCAAATTTATAGTACAGTGTATCATTACTTATATACATCATTATGTATATCACTACTTAAATTACATCACCAAAGAAACAAACATACCATATAATAGTTTTCAGAAAGAGATCTAGAAACTTGGATGTACCAAGGAGCATAAGAGTAGCTATTATTGATGGGCAGCCATTCCACTGTGGTTAAAACTTGGCTGTAATATAGAACACTGTTCTGTGAAGCACAAAACAACACTTCCAAATGTTCCACATGGCCTTTAATGTTTAAACTAAGTTCATGCTTAGCTCTCATAAACACAACAGGAAGAGTGTCTCTGTAAGATGCTCTGAACTCTGCAGCAGACAGCAGAAGAGGATGAATGTTTTCTCAGAGGGATGGAAAGGCCAGGGGGATGGAGACTTACAGGACTATGTATACATTAAGCAATAGAAGCACTTGGCAAGTAAGATTGTTACCTAGTGTTGTCCCAGGGACCTCAGTTCTAAAAGCAACAGGCGTTTCAAGGTCTGTAACAGGTTCAAGGTCTGTAATAGGAACTGAATTAGCAAAGATGAGCTTTTAAAAACCATGTATAAACAGACACAACATTTACTTCAAAATGACTCTGTGATCATAACACTGAATCGAGAATATGTGTGTGTGTATACATACACGTACATATTAATTTTCTGGTTGAAAAGTATTATGGACTGAATTGCATCATTACAATTCATATACTGAAGGGTAAGTCCAAAGGAGCTATATTTGAAGACACAATGTTTAAAGATGTAATTAAGGAATCATAAGGTCAGCTCTCCAGTTTGTCAAATGTCCTTATTAGAAGAGACAGTAGGTATATGTATACATAAAAAAAAAGGCCATGCAAGAACATAGCAGGGCAGCCATTTCTGAGCCAAGGAGAGGCCTTGGGGAAGCGAGACCTGTAGACACCTTGGTCTTTGACTTGTAGCCTCCAGAACTGTAAGAACAGTTCCCTATTGATTAACTACTCAATGTGTAACACTGTGGAATGGCTGCCCTAATAAAGCTCACGGCAAATACCAATCCTTCTATCCAAACTGTATGTAGCATCCACCTCCCAGACAGCCATCATCATTGCTCTCATTTTGCAATGCTTCAGCGAGCAATTCCTCATGTTACAATGCTTATCTGACTAGAACAGGGAAAACTAACTTCAGGACATTTTACCCCTGCCCTTACATAGGTTTCTAATGTTTTGTAAGAAGTATACAGAAAGCTCACTTGCATTTTTTTGAACACTAAAAGAAGAAAATAAGTATTAAGTTTATGAAAATATGACTGCATAAACAGTTCTGAAGTTAAGAAATACACAGGCAGCCATTCCAAAAATAGCTTCTCAGGATTTCGTTCGCCTCCAGACTGAGAAGTAAAACAATTTTCATACTACTCCTAGTTAAAAGGATTCTATGTGCCTCTTCCAATTGTAAAGGCCTTGCTAGCTGCTAGTATGCTTCTGAGAGTCCCCTCTCTAGGGAGAACCCATAACAAGGTGACATTTACAACCATTGCCTAGTGCTTAGGTTCCTTGAACCAAGAACCCCTTGTTTATCTAGAAGACCCAGTATATCTAGACTACCATGGCTTTGAGTTTGTGTTCTTTCATATGTTTTGGGGAGCTAAAAAGAGGTAAGATTGAGTTGTTTTAAAGTTATGGTTTAGTATATTACAAAATTTAAAAAAATCTTCAGGTATTACAAAGCTTGGCAAATTTTTCTTGGGTTTCAGGCAATATATGAAAGCAGTACCCTATAATATGTTATTGCATCTTTTGTTATTGAAAGTACCCTTGGGGGAAAATACTGACATATCAATTGAAATTATTAATTCAGAAAGACAAGATCAGTATTTTCAAAAAATTCTTCTACAGTTATCTGATTGGGCTAAAATGGCTGAGAATCATTAAAACTATGGTGAAGACGGGGAGGACTTCAACTCATATTAAGGATGGAGTTTACTATTTAAAGCTAGTAACCTGATGATATTCTATGCTATTCAGTCTGCTAAATCACTTTGCTCACACACTAACAAACAAAAGAAATTTGCCCGCTATAGTTGGGTTTGCACAAATTAGAGATAGACACATCAAAGATATAGGAAACTGGTCTTAACCAAGAATTTGGTTAAACCAAAACCTTAAAGCAACATGTAAATACTGTAAAGCAAGTTATGAGGCAGACTGATAACCCAAACTAGATTCAAGCATTCCACGGCTTCCTAGGCACCCAACAAACAAGAGGCAAGTACTGCTCAACATTCAATTCAAACAAAACGATGAATGTAATTGGGTGGCAGCATGGGATGAATCTGACAATGAACAGAGAAAGTATTTGCTGAGAGTTAGGTGTATCATTACCTATTGTGGCCACTGGATCCTCTTTTAAAGGAGTAACTGGTTCAAAGACTGGAGTAGAAACTATCCAAAAATAACAAAAACAAAATAAGCAAAAGGTCCACTCCAAACATTAAAACTTATAAAAACCTACCATATTCATTCAAAAAGAATTCTAGCCAAATAGAAACAAGTCTGAAACATAAAGCCATGTGGCTAACTAAAAGAATATAGTGTCTCTGCTCTTAGATGTCAACTCATCTCTTAGGAGTGGAACCAAAACCTTTGTAGGTACAGGCCTACAAAGTTTATATAAAGTACCTTCAAGTTGTCCTCATTTTCTAATGATCTGAGATTACTTAATGTACCCAAATAGATCATTTGAATAAGGCTTGAATCTCTGAGGTCCACAAATATGGTTACAAGGTAATGGTACCTTTGGATAGTAGGATCTAGTGAGAAGATCTTAGGTCATTGAGGGCATGAGACAGCTTGCACAACACCTTGGTAGTTCTGTGTGACCCTTTGAGCTCTCCAGAGTGATTATAAAAGCAAAAACCTGGCTCTTCAAGTCATCTCTGCTTCTGGTTTGAAATATGATCACTTTCTAGATGTTGTACATGCACCCACCACAGCCCCATGCCATGAGGCGATACAAGCAGGGAATAACTGTTACCACAGAGTCTGTGATGTACCTCTAAAATACGAACATTCAAGTATTTGAACTAGACAAACCTCTCGCTTGTAAGTAGCAGGTGCTGATCGTTCTGTTATAACAAACAAAGCTGACTAACATCTAGACCAAATTCGCCTTATGGAGAAGATATCCAACTTGAGTACACAAGAGAACATTACAAGGGGCAGCTGCTCTATCTGTGGCATGTCAGGGCAGCCTTGTCCAATACTCAAAGACAGTGTGGCCGTAAATCAATTCTCTGGTGTTACTCTAAGCTCCCAAGTTTAACATTTAGAACTTTTCAACTTGTCCTATAGGCCATTAGCTGCAGGAGCCTCATTAAAACCATTCAATTCCTGGAAGGCTTATCTTTTTCATAAGAGGAAATTTGCTTCCTTTCACTGGCTGTCAAGCATTCTCTGCCCTTTGGAACTTCCCCCTTATCCTCCCCCTCCCCCAGGTTATCATCCCTGTAAGAATTACTTTTATATTTATAAGCAGTTGGGGGAAACAAACCACAAAAGCATGCTGCAGAGACCATATGCTCTACGAAGCCGGAAGTATCTGTTCTCTAGCACCATACAGAAAGTGTTTACTGTTGTCTGACTTGAATGCCTACTATGACTCACAAGACTTACCAATAACTGATAAATCACTCCCCACTGGTGCAAACATATACTCCTTCTCTTTTGTTTCATGTGCGTACATATTTACCATGGACACTTGATAACGACTAGCATTGCCAGAAAAACAACCACCATAGAGAAAATTCTAGCACACAGAACATAAGGACTTCAGCCATTGAAATATCTCTCCTTCTCCCCTGCCTGAGCTATTGACCCTCAGCTGTCATTATACTTCCTGTAAGACCTGCTTGGATGGACTACCGGGATTCTTAACACAGGCCCTACACATTTACCCCGTTCTGTCTGAGGTGCTGTCGGACTCCTTGTCGTTTTAGGTTTTGGATGTGGATGGCTTGGTTGTTGAGGCAGTTTGGGAGCTGAAGGAAGAAAATCTCAGGTTAATATAGTATTTTGGATTTTAGAAATGTTGACTGGGAATACATTTCTTATGATTTCTTGAGCTTCAAGAAATTTCCCTTTTGAGCTTTGTAATGTTTGTCTCTGTTTTGATATTGAGCTCTTTTGTAACACTTGCATTTCTTTGAGAAACAAAACTCCTGAAGAAATATGAATCTATATATCAAGAATACTTCCTATAGCTTCTCATAAGGGTTCCTGAGTGAAGAAATGTTCCAAAACACAAAGTAACGGAGTGCATGGGGGTACTGGGGTTGGTTTCATGCTAACAAAGCCGTAATGACTTCAATTGACCAGCCTTGAGTCTATTTTCTATTTTCATCCTCACCAAAACTAAGTTTTATCATTCCCTAAAGTGGAAAAATCAGACAAAGCACGAAAATGGTCAAAATACAGAAATTGACAACTTCACAAAAAACTATTACATCACAAGAACTGCACAGATTAACGCAACCGAGACGGTACATAGATTCCCTTGTAGACACGGACAGAGACGGATACCCCATAACAAAAATGTGCATGTGGTTAACATGATACACGGAAGCAGAGATAGAAAAAGATTGAAGGTGTGTCAGTGAGCCTATATCTGTATATGTATGTATTCTTTTTCAATAAATTGGCTCTCATAAAAACAAGATGTCATAAAAACAAAACATCATAAAAGATGTCATAAAGACAAGACATCCTTTGAACACTCAAACATGGTTAAGCAGTTGAGGGACCAGAAGATGCAGAAGCTTTGTGACGTCCCAGAAGCAGTGATTATGAAGGTGATAAAATGAGGAAGAAATGCAGATGTGGAAGGACATGGTATGTCGTTACCTAAGGTCATTCCTGGAGCCTCAGTTCTAATAACTGGTTCAAGGGTTGTAGCAGGAACTGATCATAAGAAGAAAAGATATCAGAGGGACATTATGAATGCACGGAATGTTAGAAAATTCATCTTACCAGTAAAAACAAGGTTTCTTGAGTTGCAACATTTTTTTTAAAAAATATTCTTAACTGGAGAAAATGAATATTGCGTTTTCATTAAATACTTCTCCAAAGAATCACTACATACTCATTTGATTCAGAGGTTAGTCACAGCCTTTGGCACATCTCCTTGACATCGACTCTGGAATCCCACTGCTGATAATTATCCAATTTTAACTAACATGAGACCCTATATAGAAAATCTGACTCACCATCAGAAAAAGATAGGATGACACTCAGAACCTTTACAAAAGGCAAAATCAGAAAAACACATCCATTCTAAATAGTAATCAATGCCAGATGCAATGGGCAGTTTAGATAGTTGAATATTAACATTATGCAGTTTAGAGACTCTATGGTGATTTCCAGTGATTCTGTCCCTGTGATCAACACTATTTGTCACTACAGATATAGTTTGTATTTATACTGTCCTTTGAGTATGTGCTACACCCACAGCTTGCTAACAGCTGACACAGAGAAACAGGGATGTAAAATGAGAAGGAGGAAAAAGTAGGAAGTATTGAGATCACACTATGGTTTATCAATGATGGTTGTTCATAGCTATAAGGAAGCTAGAACCACACCCATTAAGAGGTGACATCCTTGGAGCACACACTATTACTTAACAAGATGAAGAACCACTTCGTAGTTTTTGTCATCATTGGGTTGGGTTATCTTTAGTTCTATGAAAAGAACTAAAGTTTTTAGTTCTATAGAAAGAACATGATCTTGTGCAGAAGTGAGAACCATTAAATCCCATAGGATCAATTTGAAGATTTCAGCCCCCAGTCTCTTTAATTTATTCTGTGGCAGGACAGGAGAGCATTGATACTTTATCCTCTGTCTGGGAAGTCAAGTTCTCCAAGTTCTCCATGTGTAAGCCTTCATCCTTCCAACCTTCAAATCCTGTGCTAATTTTTACTAATTATCTTGGATTTTTTTTAAAGATTTATTTATTATGTATACAGAAGAAGGCACCAGATCTCATTATTGATGGTTGTGAGCTACCATGTGGTTGCTGGGAATTGAACTCAGGACCTCTGGAAGAGCAGCCAGTGCTCTTAACCTTTGAGCCATCTCTCCAGCCCTATCTTGGATTTTTTTTTTTTTTTTTTTTTTGGTTTTTCGAGACAGGGTTTCTCTGTGTAGCTTTGCGCCTTTCCTGAGACTCACTTGGTAGCCCAGGCTGGCCTCGAACTCACAGAGATCCACCTGGCTCTGCCTCCCGAGTGCTGGGATTAAAGGCGTGCGCCACCACCGCCCGGCTTTCTATCTTGGATTTTTTAATCTAAATTTTCACAAAGCTCACAATATGTAGCATTTGGGTTGCTCAGATTATTTTATGCCAGCATGAACATGCTGCCTTACATTACTTTCTGGTTATGCAGGAGCAGCTTTTCTTTTCTGGTGTCTTGTCAACTAAGTGGTAAATAAGACAGCTCCTACTTCAGAGCCAAGGGCTGAGGTGGCTAAGGAGAGTGAGTGCAAGCTTAGTGAATGCAGTAGCTTTGACCAGATTGTTTCAGCTCAATACTACACCGAGCAGTCTCATCTCTGAGATGTGACTATAATCAGAGAGTAAGAAAAACAAACATAATGGTCATTGAGAGTCAATATTCTTAAGAAAGAAGCATAAGATGTTTAGGCATGTGATGCTCTCCTTGCAAACCAGGAGATATTTGACCTTAAAGAGATATGTTGGATACCTTCTAATACAGAATAAATCACATATTTACCCAATATAGTCTGAGGTACTTCTGGATGGGGTATGGTTTTATCTTTAGGACGTAGGCGGCGGCGGGCTTTTTTTGTTGTTGTTGAAGCTGATGGAAGAGAACTTAGTATTAACATGGTGTTGATGAGCCCAAAAGCTATGACAAGGATGATGTATCCTGTCTAAGCTTAAAAAATATAATTAATAGTTTAAGCTAAGAAATCCTGTCACTAGGGTTTGAAGCTTTTCCTCTAGTATATTAAAAGATTTCTTTAATAGTCGAGAATCCTTCAGAGGTAAAAAATATTAGATAAATTACATTTAAGAAATGTAAGTTAGGACCTCTCACCATTTCCTTGAATATATATCTAACTCTAAATTGGTTATAAGTCCACATTCAACTCTAGAGATGTGAGTTTGAACCAACCTCACAGTGATGCTTTTAATTTAATATGACTGTGCCTGGGGAAGTTCTGTGCTTGGTGGTTTACTACAGTAAGTCTTTTAAAAGCCACTGAAACATCAGCAGAGCCAAAACCAGTTCCACAGAACTTGAAATGGAGGAAGGAAACTGCTCAGACAACTTTGACTGTACCATTCCTGCTGTTGCATTGGAGGCCTAAAGGAGGACCCGGTGTCATGCCTGATCAAAGCCTCAGCCTGACACAGTTTCAAGGCGGTGCATGGATCAGATACCCATCTTGAATTAAGCCAAGGTACCTTTCCGTTAAATGGTAAGAAAACTTTCAGGATAAAACAGGGCATGCCACCATAATCTCCTTAGCAACCACAGTGAGGCTCAACAGCGAACAGACAAAAGCACTCACAGAAGAATACCAAGAATCATTACCTAAAGATGGCTCAGGAGTGATAGGTCCCAATTCTGCTGTGAGAAATGATCAAAAGCAATTTAAAACAAGGCAATGTTAAACACATCAGAAAATCCATCAAATTCTCTTGAATACGAGCTTTACCAGTGTAGCATTGGTTCTATAGTCAAAAACAACAGCAGCAACAACAACAAAAAAAAACCCAAACCTTTAAAGTAGTCCACAGATGTTTATACAACCACAGTCCTATCCTTAGCATTTCTATATCGTTAATGGCGATTTTGCTTGCTTTTCTACAGTTGACTACAGGCTTTGATTGCATTTTCATTAGTAAATAATGTGATAGGAAACTCTTAGAAGAATGTTATGTATGTCATAACATCTTATTTAACAATTATAAGAAATTAATGTGAAAGCATAATTTATAAGACTATATATTAGAAAACAAATCCTGGAATCATGATAAACACAATTGTTGATACATTTACTCGGATACAGTGAAAAATAACCAAAATAGACAAGGCTTGATTTTGTTGAGAGTCCACTTTGGGAAAAGATGAAGACCTATGTTTGAGCAAAGGCAAACCAAGGGCTAAACCTGGAGGGTCCTTAGTCCACAGAACTTGTTACTACATCTCTTCATTATACAGAAAAGACCTGGCTCTGAAGGGTAGCAGGACATGCCAATGGCTCAGAGCAATCACTGATCTTCTTTGTGGGCTTTCCAAAAGTAACGTCATCGTTCAACTAAGCAAATATCGCCCTTCTCAGTCAGGCTATACTTCTAGTTCTGATCTTGCTATTGTTACTCCCATACATGGTGCCTTCTTCTCTCTGTTTGTAGGAGTCAGGCCCATTCTTGCTGGCAAATCTATAAAGGCTAAAAATTTCAGGTTCACCTTAAACATATTAGCCCATATATACATTAATTTTTACTTAAGAATGAATTATGTATCCAACAGTTGGTGAAACAGTGACTACCCAATGTTGCTCCTATTCTTTATTTATATTTATAATGTCTGAATAAGAGTTGCTTCATTGTTCAGCTAAGTCACTTGCTACCTCTAATGCATAGTCTACAGATGCTAGTGTGGCATTTAATAAAGCATGTGGCTCTTAAATATACTAAGTAGATATTTTTCCAATTTATAATCAAAGAGCAAAGAATAATTAAATGTTGGAGGAAAAAACATATAAAACTCTCAGGCATCAAGGACTTCCTCATGACAGCAGCATGAAGGAGCCATAGGGATTGGGCATAGCAACCATGCTGGTAGCAACTGCGTCCTATGGCTTAAGTCTTCACCCTCAGTAGCAAGTGGAACTTGCGTAACTTCTGTCACATCCAATGAAGAGCTACAGGAGCCAAGAACCACATTTACCTGGTTTAGGCTGAGGTATCTCTGGGCGTGGGGTGGCTTTATGAATAGGAGGACGTGGACGGTGAGTTCTTGGTTGTGGTGTTTTGGGGGCTGGAGAAGCAAAGTGGTTATTGTGGTTGTGTGACTTCAGAACTAAAGAAAGATGACACATGAATGTAAGGTGTCTGAAACCTGAGATACAAAATGTCTCTTTGATTTGGAATTCTTTCTTGGTAATATATATGTAAAACAATTTGGTCTCCTGACAGTGGAGACAGACCACTTGACATTGTTTTTATTATTCTGAAATTTTTATTGTTAGTTGCTAGCATCAAAGAGGTTCCAGACCCCAAAGGGAGTTTGAAACATGACATGTTGATATCACGTCAGGGAGACTTCAGCTAACCTGCTTCTGGGTAACTGTCCTTAAAAAGACTCAGTTTATGGATACAAGCCATTAAAATTAGTATTACTATATGTATGTAACAGTTCCTAAAATCACCTGCATATGACCACGGTCTTTCATATCTTCAAAAAAAAAATAACTCAAGAATATCTTAAGGGGTAGGCATTCTGAAGTAGATCAGAAACTTATTTTTAATGTAGACTCCTACTGAGTACTGAATAGATTCATGGGCTCTGTGAAGCATTTGCAAAGACAGATAACGGGGGTGGGTAGCTAAGGAGCTGAATAGAGGCTTATAACCAAGTAACATCCTTTAAGGATTCTTGATATATTTGAAATGAGAAATACCGTAAATGATAAGACATTTTTGTGGAAGAAAAATCCCCTCAATCCAGACAGAAATGGAGACCGTGTATAAAGACTAAGAGGTCATTACCTAATGCTGTCGCCGGAGCCTTGGTTCTCGTAATTACAGGTTCAATGTCTGTGGTAGTAACTGACCAAAAGCAATACATGACAGAAATTAAGAAATGTACACAGTGATTTATCTTAAAGGTGAAACATTTTAAGCCTGTTACTTTTTTCTTAAAGGAGTAAAGATAGTTTACTCTATAGACAGATATTTTGAATGACCATGGCCCAGAAACACCGATTTAGATTACCCCAAATTCCACATTCCAATGTGGAAACAGGTTCCTAAAGCTTTTTATTGTTTTTAAAGAACAAAGGAAGTCATCAATCAAGGCAAATTTAAAATACATTGGTGGGTACATCAGAGAGGCAGGTACAGCAAGATGGGGAAAGCTATTCTGTAGGCCTAAGATGCTCTCTGATGACATTCTTAGTTTTTGGATCGGTGAAAGCTAGTGGCCTGCTAGGTTAATAGACTCCAAAAGTCTTCTACCTATTAAATTAGAAGATGTTAGTTCTGACACAGAGGTGGACAAGGACTACAATATTGTTATGTTTAAAAGCATTTGTGATGTCTGGGAATACTACTGCCTGTAGCCGGCCAGATTCTATGCCCACCTATCCGGCACACACACACCATTTCACCTAGAATGAAGTTACTGAAAAGTTATTTTCCTATATTGGACTGTCTGAGTCTACCTACCTAGAATGGCACTCTGGCTCTACAGCTTTAGGATGCGTTATACTAAATTATTCTGAAAATAGCTACAGAGTTTTCTGTTGTATCTCAAAGACATTCACCACCATTAATTTTGGGAGGAGTGGTGGTTGTGAGAATAGGAAAAGTATTGCTAACTGTCTTGTTTTCTGAAGATCTGTGCCAATCATACAGATAGATGTAAATGCCTGCCTTCTCTTCACAGTATATGTGGTGCTTATTATGTTTCTGTACTTATCTCAAATGGATAATTTGCATGCAATTACCCAGTGTATGAAGAGATATGGGGACTGGGGAAATTGCTCAGCAATGAATCACTTGTGTAACACGAATAAGACCCTAGTTTCAACTCCTAGAGACCACCCCCCCACACACTGAAAGAATAAAGATAATTCAGAATGAAAAGGAAATAATGCAGCTTTTCATCTCAGTATATACGATTTCTATAAATAAGTCTTCATAGATCAGAAATGAAAATTTACAACTCTGGCATTAAATCTAGGAGATTCCACGTAAGATTCAAATTTCTTATTATCTAATGTCCTCTAAGCATTGGTAGAGAGACTGACTTTCCCAGATGGTTCAGGGAACCAAAGCATGAAGCTAGATTAAAATGCACCAGAGAGCAGCGTCCAAGTTAACGGCACACAGAGATGGAAAGAAACTGGGACAAGAGGAGGAAGACATTGTCAGAACGTCTTTTCACAAGATGAATTCTCAACAGAAAGGTACGCTTTGCATTTGAATAGTATGGAATCAAGGAGAAAGGACCATTATCAGAAATGACGGCTCATCATTGCAAGCTCCAACCAGCTCTCTTTGTTCCCACACACACACAAGCAGGGGCTGCAGAAAGTCGCTGCTTGGAAAGACGGACGGACAGAGCCTTCTGACTTCTGGCAGCAGCAAGTGCTGAGAGCAATCTGACCCTGAGGATCAAAGGGAGTGTACCATCCAGGTGCTGTTGGCGGAGAAGATACAGGGATGCCCGTCGGGATGCTAACATGGCCCCTGCCAAAAACAGCCCGTACTTCTCAGAAACAAATAAGTGAATGATGATTAAATTGAACACACAGATGATGAGAGGGATCAGTGGAGAAATCTCCAGGAAACGTCAGTTAAGAAAACATTTATTACCTATGGCTAGGGCAGGGGCTTCAGTTCCAAGTGTAGCAGGCTGCTCATAGGCTGCATCATTAAACATAAAACACAGATGAAGAAAAAACAATCTCAAGTACTCATAATATTTAATTCAGAGACGTTGAGCGCAGTTTAATCTAGGTTGATGTAGATTGCTAACTGATGGGCTTATTTATAATGAGACGCTCTCTTAGTTGTATACTAATTGGAATCTTAGGAGAAAATTTCAGTTGTAAACAGATTTTTCAAAACTATTTTTTTTTAATATAGTAGAAAGCCACCCAGTTAATAATTACTATTTAAGATGCCAACAGGTTATTTCAGAGGAAGCCAATCCCTATGTGGCAAGTCTTTCTTTGGTTGTGCCCATATGGGAGGAATACATGTCCCCTCCTATGTGTACTACCCAAAAACAGCTAGCAAAGTCACTTTAAATTGTCCCAGGGACAGAAAAGTCTAACTTCTTTTCATTATAAACTCAGAAAGGCATAAAAATGCTTTTTTAAAGTTTATAAGACTATCAGGTATTAAATGTTCTTATTTCTTATCTACTTTCAGAAGATAAAGAACAAAATTAGGATACTCGGTTCTTTAATTAGTCAAATATATAAACTCTTTCAATGTCATTTCCACTGATAAAAGCGTCTTAAGCTAGGGCGATGGGAATTACGTTTACCGAATTTAGTTGGTGGCATGTCAGGTGTGGCTTTGGGCTTAGGAGGCAATTGCTTTGGTGGTTTTAAATCTGAAGAAGAAAAAGGACCGCAATTAGTGTCACAGCTAAGCGGTTGGTGTGGAAAACAATGTTACTTGTAGACCCTTTTCCCATTTACATGCTAAGGCATTGAAAGTGTTGATTACCAGGCTGGATTTGGGGTACCTCTGGCCTGCGTGTTGCTTTGGGTCTCTGGGACAGTTTGGGAACTAAAAGAAAAGGTATTAAAATTAGCATAATGGGCATGGTTGTGACTGTCCAAGTTGAGGATGTATAAGCTGAGAAACACTCAGTGAAGACTCAGTGTAAATATAAAAACAGTTCCAGGAAGGGTGGAAATGCTCATTTTAGCCATTCATTTGCACCATTAGTTTTCCATGGAAGAACAGTCTTTTTTTTAAAAAAAATTATTGATTGATTGATTATGTATACTGTGTTCTGTCTGCATGTATGCCTACACACCAGAAAAGAACACCAGATCTCATTACAGATGGCTGTGAGCCACTATGTGGTTGCTGGGAATTGAACTCAGGACCTCTGGAAGAGCAACCAGTACTCCTAACCTCTGAGCCACCTCTCCAGTCCCCAGAAGAATAGTCTTAAGGAAATGCTTAAAATGTGTCTTTGAGTAAAAGTACTATCATACAACTTTCTTCTTAAATGATGTATTTAAGAAGGATTAAATATATCAGTTTTACTGTTTGCTGGCAACTTTTTTTTTAAGCACAAACCAGTAAGATTGAGTATTTCAAAGTTGTTTAAGAAGAAACCTGGAAAATTAGCCATAAACATCTGCTATTAACATAAGAAATAATGACACATGGCTACTGATCTGGGGGAATTTCTTAAAATGACCAGAGACTAACTGAATTCTGAGAAGTTACAATGAAACAATCAGAGGCATGGCATTACCACTAAAAAGAATAAAAGCCATCTTGGAACTTTTAATATTCTCAAGTTGCAAAGACAACTACCAGTTTCATACTGGGTCCCAGATCAGAACCAGTCTATGGTATCCAAACATGCTAAATACATTCTCCAATAGGAATGTGCAGCTTTTCAGAGTCTTACAGGCGGGATGAATAAAGCAATGAAAGCCACAGCACTGGAAAATGTATGCCATTTGTTTAGTCCAGAAGACTACAGACATCTGCGAGGAGGAACACCAGGACATGCCATTAAAGGACAGAGGGTCAGCAGGGAACGGGGAAGCTGTGCTCAAGACCACAGACCTTCCCTGCGTTACTGTAGCAGAGTGTACTGGAAGAATTCTCCGGTGCTCAGGCTCTTCCCACCCACACAGGAAATGAAGGGAAGCATGGTTGACAGCGTGATGGAGTGACAAAACTTCCGTCATGCCTGGCTTGGAGACCGTGAAGAGAAAAAAATAAAATGGCGAGAAAGCAAGAGAGGATGCAGAATTACCAGTTGTGGGTACCAGCGGTACAGTGGCAGGTTCCCGAGCTGTGGAAGCAAAACGCCAAGACGACTAGTTATACCGTGGTGTGGCATCCCAAGGAAGGTAACACTGTGCCTTAAGGCCAAAGCTATATGCAAACTGTGCTTTTTTTCTGAAGGTAATTCCACTTTGGCTTTTCCCATTTACCCCCTTTTCCCTGCTGCTTTTCTGAACCTCAGCTGTCCTGGAGAGGTATCAGCTGTAAGACTCTAAGGATTCTTGCTTTAATAATCCACCAAGTGGGCCACTTTTCACACTGTACACTAACTAATCACAAATAAAGATATGGATGCATCATACCTGATAGGAATGCAGAGAGTATACAGATGCTCAACTATGCGAACCAGCCATATTGTTCCCTAAAGCCCAGCTGTTGGGAGGGTGGCAGCTAACAGACTAGAAGCCTCCGCACTGAATCCCTGGTCATTGGAACCCTAAATACCACATTTACCAGGTTTGGACTCAGGTACTTCTGGACTACGTGTGGTTTTAGGACGGGGGCGGAGGCGGCCTGGTCGTTTGGTCTTTGTTGGAGCTAAAGAAAGGAAAATGTCTAGTTAGCAGAGAAAGAATAGTGCTACAAACCGAGAGTAAATGATACATGTCATTTAGTCACATATTTAATCCTTTTGATTCAATCTGGACACATTCAGTTTTGCCACTTTCTATCATCACCCAGTTACATGAAAAGTAGAACTTAGGGTGTTTTTTTCTTTTAAACCACCCTTGTCTTGTTCTCTCTCTTTCACCTCCCTCCATCCTTCTCTTTCTCTTCACAGTTTTTTTTGGTCAAAGATTTGTACATTTCCCAAGAGATCTCTTTATTCTATCACTTTGAAATCAATTTTGGAAAATCTCAAAATTAGTGTATAGTTTGGATGAGATGGTCACACAAAAGTTTCAAACCTATACCATCAGGAAGAACATGAGAAAGGCTGTTTTGCTGACACAGTAAGAGTAAAAAATTAAAATTTGGCTTAGTATTCCAAAGCAGGAGATTTTTTTTCTGCTTGGTGTAAAAAAAGTCCATGTATAAACAATAGGGAAAAATGAGTTTAGAAACTATATCAAGGGAAGCATTTTTTAAATGAGATATACTTATAGGCTAGAGGTATAGGATTTAAAATTTGTAAGGATAACCAAGAACACATAGACAAATGGACATTGATGTATCATCCCATGAATGTGAATCTGCCAATAGTGACACCAGCCATTAAGGAAAGAAGGAGTAACTGTGTGTCCAGATAACGTTGTTACGGACACTTTCCCAGAGCTCTGGGACCCTAAACCACACACAAAATTATCAAGAAGGAATCAAGTCACAGGAGAAAAGTAAAATCAACTTAAATGTGGGAGACACTCAATTCTTAACTTCTAGCTTGAGCAAATTAAAAGTGGTGAAATTTTATCCACACGAGAAGTAACCTCTTCTACTGAAATCAATTCCTGTGGTTTTAGACAAAATGAATAAAAATGCAGCCAGCTAAAGTTTGGAAAACGAAATGGAAAAAAAGGGCAGAGGCATGGCTCTTTGGAAGCTGTGGATGCAATACTCTAACCAGGACCTCTTGTGAAGGAAAATGTGCGTAATTGGCTAGAAGGGCACCAGAACGGGGTTCTTTGCTTGGTTTGCTTTTGAAGAAAAAAAAATGCTATAAGGGTTGGCTTTGTTGTTCTTTTTCTTTTCTACCTCCTAATGCATCATCTAGTGACACATCCGAGTTTTCAGATCTGGAATGATCATTGCTCTTTTCAAGAAAGTCTGTAAATGTTAGCGTTTTGAAAAGTGAGGGGGGAAAAAAAAAACCTCCCAGAGGGAAGCACAATTATGCCTGGGGAAGCCAGAAGTCTCCACTGGAAATAACAAGTTAGAAGAAGCTAAGGAAAATCTCCTTGAATATAAGACAGGACAATAAAGAATGAGTCACATCCAAGGCAGTGTGGCTTTCATGGGTGTCCCAGAGCCTCTATTCAGCCAAGCCCAGGCACAGGGCAGATATTGTTGCAAAAAGCAGCTGCAAAAATAAAATTAAAAAAAAAAAATCTGAAGGGCAGTTAAGTATTTTCAAAGTAACACATATCTAAGGACAAAAGTTGAACACAGAAAGAGATACAGGCCATTTCTTCAGTGTGATTCAAGGAAGCAGCTTTACCCTTTGTTGACTTTGCTGATGGTAGAGTCTCAGGCTCTGGGGCTGCAATGAAAGCAAATAATGTCAAAGCAGTGCTGAAGGGCAGGAATTAGGCATCCTTTACCACGAGACAAGCTCGCTCCTTGATGAAGGTTTAGGCTCCTCTGGATGATGGTGCCGAGGCTTGCTCATCTCACACCCATCGCATAAACCCCAGCAAGAGCTGAGGATTGTCATTTGTGCCGTTCACCTCTGCTGGGGCTCTCACTACACATACCCGATGGCTGTCCCTAGCACATCCCCGGGAAGGTGTTCTGAATGTCTTGCCAACTGCCATTTTGTTTCTTACAAAGCAACCACATTCACCCCCGGAAGTGAGAAGCAGGTAACATGCCTTCTCCCGTGTTGTGTTCTGTTAGTGCTGAACGGTATCTGGCTTGGCTGGACCTCACGTTCTTTCACTAAAGATAAGAAACTCAAGTGTAAAAAGGGCCACAAGTTCTAATGGTGCACCCTGTCTGTGGTTACGAGTACATATTGCTAGTAAACAAGATCCATTTGGGTTAGCATATCAATACGTATCCAAGCATAGTCTCAGGTTTCATGAACTGCTTAATAAATTAGATAACATATGATGATGGTATGATAAACAAACCCTCCAGTGGTCAAATCAGATGTGAACAAACTATTTTATTCCATGCTGGCTATTTGATGTTTGGGAGGGGAAAAAAAACAGGCTATTTCTAGTAGTTTTTGTGCTATTCTACTCAAAGGAGTTTTCTTTCAAGAAGCAAATTAAAATTAACTGTATTTTTCAAGCCTAGGGGAAAAAAACAAGAGCTTTTATCTCTCACAGAAAGAAAGGAATTGATTTGGCATTCATTGGCTTTCATTACAATGTAAATCCTTCTCTTATTTATACAGCTCGGATAGAGTTGACTCGGGTAGTCTGAATAGGGAAAGGAGTAGGTTTGGAAAAAGCAAGGATTGACTTGGGCTGGGGGCGGGGAGTGACAACAGAAGTTGTCATAGAGCAACTTTCTAGGAACTAAATGACTTGCTTTCATAATTCAAAAAAAAAATATAGCAATTCAGGGCTGTGTCATACCATCTTGTGGGTTAACACAGGAGGGCAACAGTTCTCATTGTGTGGGAGGGACAAGTTAAGAGAGAGGAGGCGGCTCTGGTTTTCCAGAAATGCATTGGGTTGTGCATACAAAACAAGCCGAAAACAAATGTCAAGCTTCCTTGACCAAACCAACTGAGGAAAAGCATCTCGCATGGAAAGTGAGGTGGAAGAACAGGCGAGAGCTGGGAAAGTTGGGGAGTCTTCACACTGGGGAGCTTCTGGTGGTTTGTTTGCTCTTGTGAACTTCAGCTGGAAATAGAGACCTCCTTTCTGCTGAGTTCAAACAACACGGAAGATCTGTAGCTAAAGAAATGCTCCACAGAGATGCAGTCCACACTCGCTGCTGTCTCGGGCCACTCAACATCCCTCTGTTGTGAGGTTTGGATGTTAACTCCCCCAGGTGGTGATACCGACTGTCAGACCCGGAGAAGGTGAGGACCCCGGGATTATGAGAATGTTTAGAAATCAAAGGACTGAAACCACACCAACTCCCAAATAAAAATTCTGGCAAAAAAAATAATAAATAAAATGTCCAATTAAGAAAGTGTCTATTCAGACATTTTGAAGAGTAATAAAACACACCCTCTAATTGAATATCTTAAATTCATTTCTAAAATTTGTGATTTATCATGCCTAAGTGTCAACCAATATTTATAAGGCAGATTTTTTTTATGCTTTTCAAGTTTATCATGAAATTAACAGACACAATTACTGAGGAGAAATATTTAATTTGTTAGCCAAAACACACAGCACCTTTCTCCATCTGCCTGGTAGCAGCCTCCACTGAAAACTCAGCATAAATATAAAAGTCACTTTCTCATTCCAAACCTCCCTAAGAATGATTTTTAAAACACATCTACCTCATTAATCCCTTCCCACTACAGCTGGCAGAGTTCTTTATTTAAACTGCTAGGACACTTGATTTTTATACACTGTGCTTCTCACTTGGCGCCCTCAGCCAGGGCCACTTACATACTTGTCTAAGCCTCTATTTCAGTGGGTCTCAATCTTTCTAATGCTACGACCCATTAATACAGTCCCTCATGTTGTGGTGACCCCCACCCACAAAATTATTTTTTGTTGCTACTTCACACCTGTATTTTTGCTTTTGTTATGAATCATCACGTAAATATCTGATATTCCATGATGGTCTTAGGTGACCCTTGTGAAATGATTGTTCAACCCCCAGGTTGAGAACTGCTGCTCTCTTTCTGTCGGGGTGACACCTACATCTGGATCCAGCCGCCTTGTCAGAGCGTGCTACACAAATTCGTTCTCTGAGCAGCTGCTTCTGTTGCCTTATGCCATCTTAAAAATAAATCATGACCACTCAAGCAGAAAAGCTCTTGCTTTAATAACTCCATCATGTAAACACACTCGTGATGGAAATCCAAGTTGAGACTCCTTTACATAGCAGAGTGTGGAATGCATTCTCCCCAGAGCTAGAGGTTTAAAATTTATATGGCAATGACAGCAAGAACTGACAAAGCTCTCCACAGCTCATTTCGTAAGTCAGTATCCAAGACTGCTGTGTAAGTTCCAGACTAACTGTAAAAGGAGAGCATTGGATCTTTCAGTATGTGCCACCATCCTTGCTTAGGGAACCACTTTGATTTTAGTGAAACAGAGAGAAGACTCCTCCTACCAAAGAGCCTCCTATTCTTTAGAAATACACCATAAAGTCTCCTGAGACGCAAACAGAAGTCAGTGTCCAAAAACCGCCCCCCAACTAGGAATGCTTGGCACATTGCAGAAAGCTCTTTCTGGTCTTGCAACCCAAGAACTGAGACGTTCCAAACAAGCAGGGTTCTTAGAAGATAGAACCCATTGTTGCCTTCAGCTGAAAAGCTACTATTCAGGGCATCAGGATTTCACTCAACTTTGGTACTGGAGAGTATGTTGTAATACAGACAAGGGACCCTCACTCACTCCCATGGCTATAATTCTGTTTTCTGTGTGATGGTCACAAACATAATATCCACCACATAGCTCAGAGCAAAGCTATGATAATACCAAAGGGCCCAGTTGTGCTGAGGTCATCTGGTTGTGTTTTCATACTTTCCATGGAAAAATTGCATTAGACGCTAACATAGAAATCAGAACTTCTTGAACCAAACAGCTGCATAAATCAATTTTCCAGCATTATTTTTAGAACACTACAAACGAGGATCAGAGAAATTATCACATTTGGTGTCACTTCTAGAATGAGAGATATTTTAAGTTTCAAAGAAATTAGTTGTGTTTTACTGAGTTAAAAAGAAATGAAATAATCAATAAATTTCTATTTTGGTATATAAAACCACAAAAGGAAAATCTAACACTAATTAAGTGGGATAAATCTATCATCTTGGAGGATTTTAGAAATATTCCATTAAAAGAATATTTCATGCTCCAGGCATAGAGAATCACTTATGGAAGAGAGCTTTGGTGCTTTCTGGTAATTACTCAAAGACTGATTTTAATCTATGCTTTTAAGTTGGTCTAATTATTTTTCACCCCCCTACTTCATATTTATTAGGTAATGGAAATATATTTTAGTGTTAGTAATCAATGATTGATAGGCATAATACTATGATCTGAAACACAAGGAAAAATCCAGTAACACCAAATTGAAAGTCACTTTTTCAAAGAACTCCTAAGTTGAGCTTGAGGACCTTTTTCCAAAACATCCTGAGAACTGTGTATGCAATCAACCAACCAACAGTAGCCGCAACAGCATCCCAAGTGCTGGCCCTAGATGGCATCTTAATCTGAGCTCAGATCTACTAACTCAAGGGCCAGCTACTCACAACCAAAATAGCCATAGAACTCAGGAAGCCTGTGAGATAATTGGCATTTTCCAAATGAATCAGAACAAACAGCTACTGGCAGTCTACCGGGAGCCAGAGCGCTGGCTTCCCCACAGGGATATGAAGGTAACACAAATGGTGTTGAGTAGGTTCAGGACTTTGAGAACGTTCACATTTGTCCTTGGACTTGTAGTTCTTTCTGGTGATGGGAAGGAAAACACTTTAATTCAATGTTAGAGATAGTAAAATAATCTTCCAAGAAGGAACAGGGTGACCTTTCAAAACCCTGCCATATTTAGTAGTTGCTCTCAAAGTATGCACTGAGGAAAAGCTGAAGGAAAGAATATCTACACCATCACAAAAATGTAGGTTAGAAAAACATTTACATCACAAATGTAAGTGCATCAAGTCCCTTTGCTGAGCAAGCATGAGCATACTGTTAGCCAATGGAAACCACCCCCTCCCCCAAGTTGATAAATTACATGAACCCCCTCAGGCTGTAATAGCTGTTCCCCCTGCCATTTTCTCCATCTGAATACTACAAGTATTTTAAGACTCGTGGCTTCAACTCAATCTTTCTTGGAACTTCTACACAAGTACTACAGGCTGAAGTTTTATGATCTTCTGTTTTACTTTCATTCTTATTACTCTCTGGGATATAAGAAACTTGAAGACCAGGAAAACATCCTCTTCATATCAGCTTGCTCAATGGCAAAACTGAAAGTGTGGTAGGCACTGGTCCATCAGAAACTTCGAAGTGGATGCATACCCAGCGTATGATAGTTATCTTATATTGTGAGCTGTTGGGGCAGGACCTGTTCCCCAGCCCATCCCCAAATCCAAGAACATTCTACTGGAGACCCCTGTGTGCGCTCTTGTATTACTGTTAGCTATTTCAAGTTTTATAAAGAAACTGTCCTACAGAAAAATGTAATTTTCTTTTTACTATAGAGAGGTGAGCATGATCTATTTGGATTTAAGTAACCTGAAAAGTTAAAGAGATGTTGATTTACCAGGTTTGATTATTGGCGGTGGCTTAGGTCTGAAGCGTCGTTTAGATGTGGTGGGGATAGACGTAGTTTGCTGGGGAGCTGAAAGAAGAGTTAATAGAGCGTTGGTGAATATTTCTCAAAGGTCAGCCACATTGTGCCTGTAAACATAAACACATGACCCTATGGAATGCAAGAATGACTGCATGCTTGCCTTGGATTCCTGGGTGCCCACACAGGAATGCTTTCTACAGAGTACATACTCAATAAGTTTAAGTATTCGCTGGACTCAGAAGAACTACATTTCTGTAGAGGAGAACTTAAGGTCATACTTGAGAAGAAACACTATTCGAGTAACTGGACTGAGCATCCTGGAGTCCTTCCAGATAAGAACCCAAAGAATAACATTAATAGCAGGGAAGAAGCCAATGAGACATTTTGGATTTATAGAATGGGAAATTCAGAATATCTTATCTTGTAGTTCATGTGTACCTTTACCAGACACTAATGAACTTTATTATTTAAATAATTTATAAGACGTGAGCTCTTCCACCTTTCTTTACCATATCCAGGATTTCAGGTACTACTCGATAATCGATTTGATCTACTATAGATTAAACACTATTACTGTGCTCACCAGAAAAGAATATACTTGAAATAATGATCACCTGTGCTTCTGCTATACTTTTCTAGTTGACAAAGTTGAAAGCAATTAAGAAAATTCCTCTTCAAAATATCAAGATTGTGCAAATTCCTTGAGGTCTATAATAAGGCTAACTATGAATAACTCAGCTCACTGGTAGATGTAGAATCTCATGGTAGAGAAGGAAGGGAAATGTTTATTAGTAAAAACATGCTCAAAGGCCAGTGTGACTGACTCTTTCCTGTCACTTTACCCATTTACTTTCAGAGGATACAACTACACCAAGGACATCAGTTACCAGCGGTTGTGGGCTGCACTTCAGGACTGGTGAAGATTTCCACCTTGTGAGGGTCAAATGATGCTTCACTTGGAGCTGGAAACACAAACACCCCATCCCACCAAACAATTTCAGTTAAAAAATGAGGTATTTTAGGAATTTCAACATGCTTTCAAGATGACATAATGGGCATGCTACAGGGATGAAAAACAGATGTGCATTGTCCTGCAGCTAGTGGATGACACTCTGATGTAGAGCAAGAAGGTTAGAAGAGTGATAATTGCTCAGTACAGGCAGACTCAGTCCATGAAAACGAGGCAATGCAAGCCATAAGCACATGGTATGAGATGATGCAGATGACAAATATGTCCATGCAGTTTCTGAATATTTTCACAACACTAAGTTTGGAAATCCATTTTTTTGGTAGTTATTTCAGTATGAGAGAAAGTGACAGATACATAAAATGGAATATAAGAGATGCCTGCATAAAAATATACCATTCATCTATGTTCAGAAATAGAGAAGAGGTAAATGATTAGATGAAATGGGATGGAATGGTCATTTTTGAAGAATGGCATCCACATGGGTTATGGAGTTTTTAATGGAAAACAAAGCACAGATTTTTTTTTTGTTAAAAATATTACCCAGTGTTGCCCTTGGCTGTTCAGGAGTTCTAGAAGTTTTAGGTGGGACAGAGTCCAGAATAGGATCACTTGTTGCTGTTGGAATAAATGTCAACATTTATAAAAGCAATAGAAGTTCATAGGGATAAAATACAAAGTAAAGAAGTAATGTCTCCCAAAAAGGAAAATATCAGGGACACTTGAGGGATTCCTAGCCAAGGCTTTAAGCCAGTGATTCAATAGGAACTGAAGATGACCTCACTCTGCAAAACACCCATCACTGGAATATCAGAAACCGTAAAACAGCTTTGCACATTCAGCTTATTTTCAATTCCTTTTCTTCTAGATTCTTCCCTTGTTTCATAACTACTAATTGAGCCTACCATGAGGCTTCAGTTTTATTACTTTTCTTATTTTCTAATTATCTTTACTTACCATACAAATAATGCTGATATAAGACTACACATACCAAAAAATAATTGCAGACACCTATCTATGTTTAACAGATACCAGTCTGACTTTGAATTCTGCAGTGCTTGGTTTAGTAGATGCTTGATAAACATTTGCTAAAAGGAGTTGCTGAACTCAAGTAAACCCACTGAGGATGCATTGGTAAGTAAATGTAAAACTTAGACACAACTGCTGTGACAAACAAATGCTGTCCCTGTTTTAGCATGGGGTTCTCATATCAGCAGTACAGCACTTAGTAAGCCCAAGAAGTCTTAGGTTCGGGAGGCTGCTGTGTGCACAGCAGTACACCCCCAGTCTTTGTGTTCTAGATGGAGATGCCCCTCCCCCAGTAGTTCAGACCAGATGTGTCTCTAAGGAATGCCAAATGCTCCTATACAGAGGAGAGATCCTAAAGCATCCTCATTTGAGAATCACTGCCCTACAGAACACCCTCTAGGAATACAAAATATATTTTTAGAATGATTCTGGACCAAAGAGTAAGATGCCATTACATTACTTTCCCCAAGTGGTGACCTTGTCTAACTGTACCCTTCTCTTGTGTGACAGAGTTTATTTACTGACAAAAATAAAGAAATAACCCCAAAGTGGGAAGTATGGACAGGAATATCTCCCTGACACAGATGGAGATAGCCACTACCCACTATGGAACCCTAGAGAGCACACTTCTTCATTTCGCAAAAACTAAAATGCAACCACTAGGTTTAAGAACATCTAGGATCCAAAGGTATCATTGAAAGGTTGGGTATACCTGTGTGGGGCTCTATTTCAGTCTCATCTGAAGTTGTTGAGCTTGAGATAACATCATGAGTTGCTTAAAAATAAAGGTAAGAGAAAAGACAGATTAATTTTGCTATGCTATGCAGAATATTCCTGACATATTTCAGTGGTGGCCCAAGTACAGCAGTTTTACCAAGGTACTAGAGTTTGGAGCTGTTGGCCTCCTCACTACTGAATTGCCAGTCACCACTGCTATCTTAGCTGTGGGACTTTAACATACTGTACTGATTGGTTTTGTATGTCAACTTGACACAAGCTGGAGTCATCAGAGAGGAAGGAGCCTCAGTTGAGGAAATGCTTCCATGAGATCCAGCTGTAAGACATTTTCTCAATTAATGATTGATAGGGGAGGGCCCAGTCCATTGTGGGTGGTGCCATCCCTAAGATGGTGGTTCCAGGTTCCATCAGAAAGCAGGCTGAGCAAGCCATGGAGAGCAAGCCAGTAAATAGCACCCCTCCATAGCCTCTGCATCAGCTCCAGCCTCCAGGTTCCTGTCCTGTTTGAGGTTCCTGTTCTGACTTCCTCCAACAATGGACTATGATCTGGAAGTATAAGCCAAATAAACTCTTTCCTCCCCAACTTGCTTTTTGGTCATGGTGTTTCGTCGCAGTAATAGAAACCCTAACTAAGACACATATGCTACGGCCCTGGTCCCCAAAGTTCTGTGAAAGTCGTGCCATTTATTTATGATGAAATCATGCCAGCTCTAAATCAAAGAGCTTCAACAAACACAAACACAAACACAAATCTGCTAGTCATATGGCAGCTAAGGCAGAAGCTTTTAGAGGAAGAAAGAGAAGGCACATTGAAGCTACTTGTAGAATTCATTGCTTACTCTTTCTGCTTAGTAGACAGTGCTGGCACAGTACCTAAGGAGCAAATGGTACTTAAGGATTCACCCAGTCTCATGAATTAACTTCTTTAACCTCGTTACCATCCCTGAGATACAGGTGAGATAGGCATTGCCACCACTTTTGTAGATTTTCTAAATAATGAAGTTGAGGGTTTTATTATTATTATTGTTGTTGTTGTTGTTGATATTAAAAAGGCTGGTTATGGTAGCAAAATCTAGATTTACAGCAGTAAGGACAACTGCCAGTGCTCACATGGCGGGGGGCTGTTGACTTAGTGCATTTTTCACCTTAATATCCTGGCTAAGGACAACAGGACTAAGTCCAGGGCACTCTTGGCTCCACCCCTCTTGGTTTTATTTAGTGACAACTTTCTGTGTTCCTCCATAGAGCCATGACCCCTTCTACAAGGTAGGTAGGTAGATTTGAAGGTAGATTTTTTTGTATTCAGTATAAAAGGAAGAAAGTGGGATGAACTCAAACATAACTTTCAATGTCGGGATAAATCTCATGTTCACATAAAAGATGAACTTGCAAGTAAAAATAGTACTAAAAATATTCTCTTCGAGCACAAAGAACTGTTACTGTAGGAGTAAGAGGTAGAGAAAGTAGAAACTAGAGGTGGACACTGCTTATTTTGGGCATTCAAATTGGTTTACAGAAAATATAATAAAATGGAGGTAGCACACAGGAGGATTACTCATTTGGTTATGTATAACCTGATGACAATTTCATGACATGGAACCAGTGCTAGCTGAAGCCATAACATGGTATTAGATGGTGAGACAGAGTCTCAAAGAAGAGAACAGCTCATGTTATCCCACAAGAGACAGGGCATGCATGTCACTTGTGAAGGTATAACTACAAAGTTCTCAAAAATAGGATATCCTGTGCTAAAATAGGAACATATTGTAAGAATCTTCTTATATGAGCATCTAATGTTTTAATGTAAAGTTAGCCTAGTTGTGATTTTAAAGAGACAGGTGGGAATGACTAATCTTTTAAAGAACAAAAATGCTGCCAGTTTCTAACCCTTAGTCTGTCACAGATCTAGCAATACCAGCTCTGTCCACCTCTAAGTAAGTCAGGAGGGTTATCGACATTTTTGTATTCCTCTCTTCATATGAAATTATTAATTAATATCTTGACTTTTTTTCATGCCTTTGAAGAATGCCATGGCTGCATTTATGTTAACTCCCAAATCTCCTTTCTTTCTAGCAATGTGACATCATTTTTTTCTGCAGTCTGTATTTTTGTTCCAACTGGCATTTATTGATTAACCCTACTTCCCATATTTACACGTTGAGGTTCAAAGCCAGGCTGACACCTTCCCTAAGTTATTACTACAGGCATTCATAGGGGATAGAACGCTTTAGCATCCTCCAGCAATTATGGTTCATGTCCATAAATTCCCATTAGGAATCTCTTACTTGCAAATATTTTTCTTGAAATCCTTGGGATTCAAATGACACCTTTGTCACATAGTTGGTCCCTATATTTCTATTTCCATACTTTTTGAAAGTTGAGTGCTAAAAAAAAAAAGAAACTTAAAAAAATCCCTCACTAGAAGTTTTATGCTGTTTGGACAGCTTTGATACGCGACCACCTCAACTTCCTGCAAATGTCAGTCTTTTGACTCTGAAGTGACAAGAGGTCAGAGGAGGGGATGGCGCTGAAGGGGAGTTCTCTGAAAAACTCTTAAAATCACTAAGAGTTCTTGGTTGCCTTACAAAAACTTAGGCATCTAAAAGTCCTTTACAAAACTTTGTGTTTAAGCCTGAGTAGATTTCACTAAATTGTTCAGCCTGTTTCTAACAAACTATTCTAGGTAAGAAATTGGCAAACAGCCCCAAGAGTTGGGTGTGAGTGCTACTGTTTTTCAGACTGTCTGTATGCCACCAGGCCTTGCTGCTAATCACCATCTTTAGTGGATAAAATGCTAACGCTATTTGAAACTAGGCAGTAGCTTTGGTCTTTAATTCATAGAGTCTACATGAGACCTGAGTTGAAGGAGAAAATTAATTTGACAGGTAAAATGTGTAGCACAATTCAGAGCTTTAAGAAGCAAAAATAATGAGTAGCAATTATACAAAATTTACCTTCAGATATTCCAGAAATATATATATATATATACATATATATATGTATATATATACTTGTAAGACCATTTGTTAATTATATTTTATTTGCTCCATGTTTTTACTTTGAAAAACTAATTATGTACAAATACCAACATAAAAATGCCCTGGTCGTGTCAGGTGATAGTACACAAAGAACTTCAAATAAGCAACATTTTACTTTGCTCAGATTTCTTGAATATCAGTAGCCATATGAAAGATTTTCCTTTTTAAACATATTTTTTGGATAACAGATTTTATTAGGGAGAGGTTCTGTTGTAGCGATCTTGTCCTACACGGTTTATATGCTCTAGATCCTAGTACATGGTAGATCCACAGTACAATTAATCTAAAAAATGCTTACATCAACAGATTAATTTGGAAGATGGGTAGTTTAAGGTTTTAAAAAGAATAATGACTTCCTGGCTTAGATGCAGGAGTGGGAGGAGAAACATGCCCTTTTCTCATTTAATAATACAGAAATGTGTGCACCTAAATATCTACTACGCAGTCTTGCTGCTGGTTTGTAGGATCATGCAACAGAATTCTAACAGCCACATGCAGAAGCAGTGAAGGGACAGGGCACACAGCTAGGCAAGCACCACAGAGTCTCTGTACTATTTAAATACAAATAATACTTTCTTCAGTTAATGGAAAAATAAACCACCACTCTGGTTGACCCTGAAATTTGTGAAATAAAAATGAGAGTTTTGAGCCTATAATCCTCTAAGAGGCCACAGTGAAAATGAAAATCATCTGCTATGCTTGAATCTATTTTCTTGCCTTTGAAGCATCAACACTACTTGTTCCTACATTTCGTCCTCTCTAGGGTTTAATTAGGTTGGGTGAGCCAGATCTGGGCTAATCAACACCTCGCAGCGCAGGCAGTAAGGTCCAAAGATAGAGTTTATCTCTTTTCAACAAAGATCTCTAAGCGAATCAACCATGGTATAAACATTCCAACTGATACACCCCTCCTTGTGCAAGCTGAACTATGTAGTTCACAGAGCCTAACCATGTGACACAAGATACTATAATTCTACAAAGTGCTGAAAGAATTCAACACTGAAAATGGTGAGGGCTGACCTCTTAAAGTTCCAGAGTGGAGTACAATGAAAAGATCAAGACTGACCATACTCCATCCTGACACTGTCACGGCAAGTCTCTAAAAAACAATGAGGTCTTTGTAATGTCTCAATATATTGGGGGTAAAGGGTTCAGTTTTTTGGACATCTTGGGCAAGGACAAGCAGAAGGGTTTTCTACTGCTGAACTCAAATGCATTGAATCATTCTGGGTTTGTGTCCATTTTCTTCCTTTGATTCTGAACCTTCATGGTTCTAAATAATAGTCTTTTATGGAACATTAAAATAAATAAGAGGCTTCATACTGAGGCACTATCGAGCAAGAAGCAGAGAGTTCCTATCTATGAACTTTGCATCATGTTAGTATGTGCGACATTATGCACATGCCTGTTTGTGGGGTTTATGCTGCGTTCCCATCTCTATTGCTCAAGGAAAACATGGAAGTTTGACCTGGACATCATTTTATTTACTGAGTCTGTGCAAATCCTGGGGTACTTATAGAGAAACCCTGTTCCCCCAATTCCAAAGCATGCTGCATGGCCATTGTTTCACTTTTCAATCACAGTGATTCACTGGAGTGAGTGTGAAAGAAATTGGCGAGTCTAACTATTTGCTTGTCTACCCATCCCACATGTAAGTCCTTCATGCATCTCCTTCCAGAAAAGGAACTAATCATGCCAAAAGACTTCAGAAATGTGCATATGGCATTAGGTTCATAGGCCTTTGAGTTGTGTAGAGAAAGTTGATGCAGAAATTATGTAGTTCTAAGGGAGAAAGGATCCAACAGCATGTGGATCCCCTGAACACAAATGCCCAGTCTATCTGGTGGTAGAAGGTACCGCGAGCTTCCCTAAAACCACTGCTGGGATGACATTGGGGTGATAGAAGACTGGTCAACATCCAACAGAACAAAGGGCTAACTCTCTTGCATCACTAGAAAGACAAATTTCACCCTGAGTAACTGTCACAAGCCCTAAAATATTTCTAAGATCTGGCCAGTTTCCTCTAAGCACAGAATTTATGAGTAATTTTACATCCTGGTATGCGATTATAGAGCACATTTTTATGATTTCCTTTTATATACTTTATGGAAAATTAAATTTGCCCAGGAACTCCAGCTCAATCAACCCTAGTTAGCATACTTTACAGAAGGCTATATAAAATGCAATTCCAGATAATAAAATCACAACAGGCAGCACTGGTGAAAGATTAGGGGAAACAGGCTGAGAAGGGGGAAGAGTGTATTAAATGACTATGGATCTCATGTTTCTCACAATGCTCCAAACCTCAAATATCCTCTTCCTTCATTGCCAAGAGCTATTGAAATAATTCAAGTTTCCATAACCATGCAAGCTAGAATTCTCAATTGTCCTTTATATCTCAAAAACTGGTATGGAAGTCTTTAGGAGAATATTCATTCTGCAGTTTTGATACAGAGTTTAAAGGTGTCAAAATTTCCAGTAAATTCCAAAGCAAAACAAATCTTACAAAAAGAAACATTGTACCACATTTAGTGACTAATTAAGCAGCTAGGAGTTGGCATGTGGCTTTCCCCTGCTGAATGTCAATCATCTCAAAGGATATTAATAGTAAATGAGGCTGTTTTGCCATGAAAACAGATCAAGACAAAAATCAAAATTATCCTGTATTCACATAGAATACAGGCAAAACACAGCCAACTTTACCCTCCCCACATGCTAGCTGATGCAGTTTGTGCGTCTTTACAATTGGAGCTTCGTCTCCATTCTGCACATCTCACCATCTAGTTAAAAGCTGTGAAGATACTCATTCACAGGTGGACTCACTTTCTGAATGTATTCAACCAGAAGAAGCAAAGCTTTACTTCCTTGGACCCCCATGACAAACATTTAACACAAGACAGAAACCGACCCCTTTCTAGCATCTTCTAAGAAATCCTCTGTCCCTCACAGTCTGTGTTCTCCGTGTTTGTAATAATTAAACAAGGGAGCTATCTACCCAAGTAACTGGGAAACAATGGTATATGTTAAAACTAAATAGAACGCAGCTTAGTATATGAACGAATATACCTCAAATTTAAAAAATAGGAAAGGTTCAAGTAAATGGAAGCATGAACATATCAACTACTGAAGAATACAAATATGTCAGCTCCTGAATGTATAAACACTTGAGATCACAAATAACCTATTTTTTAATTTTAATTTGAAATTTAACATAAATTGGGATGGTCCAATGGAATATTTAAACTAATCCTTAGAAAGATGCATTCTTGCACATTAGCAGAAACATATCACGAGTTGCCATCAAGTACACTGATGATTAGTAATAGAACCTATATAAGTAAAGGCAGAAGATGTTAATACTTTTTTTAATGGAATGCAGTTACCAGTTGGAGGCTGTACAAATTTGGAATCTCCAGATGTTTTAACTCCAGGTGCCACCCACTGATCTTCACTTGAAACTATATTAGAGAGAAACAGAAGGTGCTGAATGTTTCATGGCAGATATGGGTAAGTGGCTAGAAAAACACCTGTACAGCAAAGCTCATATGGACCCAATCAAGAGTCACCATATACTTAGAAGTCAATGTGCATCCATTTAGACAGCAACCAACCAGCTAGATTATGTAGAATTAACAGGAACGACTTTCAATGAAGCTGTAGGAAATCTAACCAAGTAATATTTTTATTTTCCCTTTCAACCAACCAACTATTGATTTCCCTGTGTTGACCAAGTGCATTGGTGCATTCAGCTTCACAGAGAAGGGACTCTGTACATGTGTTCTACAGAACTGCACAGTCAGCACCCACTCTGTGTGATGCTGGTGATCAACCCCATGCCCTCATACGTGCCAGGCAAGGGTCCTGTCACTGGGTTACATCCTCAGCCTACCATGCGTATTCTTCACACCATATACAAAGTACTCTTATTTACCCAAGGTACCCCCTGGTTTCTCCAAAGGGAAGGCTGCTTCTGCCTCGGGAAACTCTGGAAACCTTTTTGGAGCTGGAGTGAAACACACAGGATAGTTAGGACAAGTGCATGGAACAGGACGAAAACGGTTTTAACATGTTCAAAGTTGTGGAAACAACAAACACAAGATAAAAATCACTGCATGTCAAGAAAATTTGCAGTGGTATTTTTTAGTTCTATTTCAATGAAAGGTAATTTTTTTTGACATCATGTAGCCCAGATTGTCTTGGATTTCACAATACTCCCTGGCTGTGTTTTTTATATTCACTTATTACAGCATGGGCCACCATGCTCAGTGTAAAATTCCCTTTTTGGCATTTTATAATCAAGCCACTAAGCGAGTTATTATTTGGACTTTTCCATCTATACTTACTAGTTTCTTAAATTTTCTAACTATATTCATTATTGTGGTTTTTGGGTATATTTCATTTTAATTCAAACAAGGCACCAAGCACATTGAATTAGAAAGTGTCTGCACAAGAACTTTAAAAATCATAAGGCAACTATACAACTCTATGCATATGTTCCTCCAGTTTTCGACACTTCATTCATAAATTCCAACAATCCTAGGAATCTATACAAATAGCTAATATATGTCCTATCTATCAAGATAAAGCTGCAAGTGAATAAAAACATGGAAGAAAAAAACAGGAGACCAATGTGTTCAGTCACATATGAGTCTGAGTGAAAAGAATAAAATAAAACAACCACCACCACCAAGAAAAACTGCTAGTGGCATTGCCACAGGGAAGGCCTCTTCAGGGCCCTAAAAGATGACAGTTGTTTAAAAATCACATTTAAGAGTTTGGATGTTTAGAGTTCATTTTTCTGCATTATCTGTCACTCGTTTCTTGTAAGGAGATTGATTTGAATAAAGTCGCCACCAAGGATTTCTATTAGCCACGCATAACACTCCCAAAGTAACATTCACTGATGCTCCAGTGTTCAGTGACTTTTACCTAGAGTGCTCAAAGGCAATTCAAACTCAGGCATTAGAACCGAATGGGCGGTTTCTGGGGTCTTCTCATTGAGGGCTGCAATAAAGAAGACGACGGTTAGCAACAGGATGGTTTGGCATAACCCTCTCCAGGCGCAGAATGCTTCATAGCAGGCTCGCGTGCAATGATGAGCCACCCATGCCTTTTCCAGCATCCAGCCTGGGAGAGAGCTGGCTCTCCCAGGAAAAGTAACATAGCTGTTAAAATGGAAGGTGCTTTTTAGGTCATCCTCACACATGCACAACAAGACACATGCCGTTCCTTTTCTTCAAGGAAAGAGAACAAACAAGAAAAGCACGATGCATTCTTTTGGGTGAAATAGCAGTTAGAAACAGCAGTTAACATGAGCAACTGAAATTCTCATTAAACAGCATGTCTCTTGGCGACTCTTCCCGAATTTAGTTGGCACAAGACTTCCCATAGCTGACCTGAACAGAAATCCCAGAGAGAGAGTCAAGATTTCCAGCAGCCTTGACACCCAACCCACAAGAGGGGACAAAGGGGACATGCAGTTAATGTGTCATCCACAGCTGCCTGTCTGGTTGGTCACCCAGTCTCAAGGCATGCTGCTGACTCTTCAGGAGAACTTGTCCCAGAAACAGGAAGGTGAATTCCCAGAAAAAGAAAAGAACGGAGAAGGAGGGGGCAGGCACATGGCGGGATAAAGTGATTCTTTAACCTGTGAATGCTGGGACTTGTCACTATGGCTGCTGTGTTATTTTAAGGGAGAAAACAGTTTTCAGTATTACCCAGTGCTGGCTCTGAGGTGTCTAACGCGCTAGACACTGTGGATTTAATGCTTCTTGAAACTGTTTCCGGAGTCACTGCAAAGTAAAACATACAGACAACTTTATGAGCTGGGAGATAATAAAATAAGGAAGCAACGCAGGCATGAGACACCTTCTGTTGGCAGCCTCTATTTTTCAGGTTTCTAGGGTGAAGCTATTGCCCCAGATGCCTCTCCTCCCTGATCCTTTCCACTTTGGGTTACTTTCTAAGTGTCCCTTTTCATTATCTCCACAGTTTAGTGTGGTGCCTATAGGAAGTAGGCTTACAGTGATATAAGTGAGTTAATGATCAAGCAGAAAAAGGGGGGGGGTAGGGTGAAACAACTATCCTATTACTAGATTTCCTCTAAACACCACAAATTACCAGCAGAGCTTGGATCCAGGCTGAAATTGTGATCGGTATTCAAACGTTCAGCCCCAGGGTGGGTTGTGTCAGCTGCTCCATTAAAGGCAGTGAAGACTTTGGGTAGAAGATTTGGAGAACTATAAACTATGATCACTGAGATTTAAAAAAATTCTACAAAACTGAAGAATTTTGCAGCAAGGACACATACTAACAATACTGAATAATATGTGGTGGGGATTGCCCAAGCATTTCTGAAGTGGAAAATCCTGAGGCGATCTTGGCAGAAAGTTGGGCAATCTGTCGACTCACACCAGACATTGTGCCGAGAGAAGAAAGTGTCACTTGGAAAGCTGGGTTGAACGTTTGACACAGAAATGGACTCATTTGGCCACTGGACATGCTCACACTTTTCTCTGTATTAACTGATCACATCAAAGTTACCAAAAAAAATTTTTTTTTCACTCAACTGGATGCTGCTAGTAGCTCAAATGGCTTCTACCTGTCTTCTAAAGGCCCATTCTTTGTCAAGGCATGATAATACTCACTCTGTCAATAGGGTCTAGCTCAGTCTGCTTCTTCAAGTTGTTTTTGCTACTGCACCAACCCTGTCCCCTCTTGACCAAACACGAGTCCCCAAATTCAGTACAAATAGAACACCACAAACACCTCAAGTTATAGAAATTTTATGAAGTAAAACGTTCACTTTTGATGGGAGTGTTTTAACTGACGGTGAGCTGCAGGGAATACTTGCCCCTTGTCTGTTTCATCCAGGCCTGGACAAGGTGGCACCACACTGGCAAAAATTCAGTACTTCCAAGACTGATGTCTCCCCAGGGAATTAGGCTGGGTAGATTTATTTGGAGAACAGATGTTGTGTGTTTGGTAGTAACAATAATACACTATGGAGACACTGTTTACCACATGTTTCTTTAGGGATATTTTTTGAACCAAATTACTACATAGTCTCCATCTTAGGGGTATTAATCTGCAGGGACATTTCAAAGCATTTTCATCACCATCAAGTTATGGATTTATGGGGACTATAAGACATTTTGCTATGCCAATCATTGTGAAGGCAGCTGGGCAATGAAAAACGGTCTGCACTGTTCACCCAAAAGGAAAGGCTATGAAACATGCCATTACCCTTGCTGTAAATGGCCTCCGTGTTAACGGCACCTTCAGTCATAGTCAAAACCAAAACCTTCCTTCCATGCTACGTAGCATGCCATCATCCAGTCACTCGATTTTCATCTGTTCTTTTCCCAAGTATAAAGCCCTAGAATCTCCTATGGTTTTATGCTTATGATCAAAATGAATTTCTTGTTATTTGCTTAAAAAATAGGTTTGTAGCTCATTCACTATTTGAAACAATGCTACTTGCTTTATCATAGCATCCTAGGGATCTCATTACCTGTTACTGGCTGGGATGCAACTTTTTCAACCTCTGGTGTTTTAGATTCTGCTGGTAATGCCAATGTTTCATTCTTAGCTAAAAAAAAAATAAAATAAAAACTTTATTTCTTTGTAGTACACTGTCCAAAATTACTTATTTCAAACATAGTCCACCACAATTTTTTTAAGGATTTATTTTGTTATTTTATATGTATGAGTATTTGCCTGCCTGTATATATGTGTATCATGTGTGTCTGGTGCCCACTGAGGTCTGAAAAAAGACTGGAGATGGTTGTGAGCTGGGTGCTGGGAACCAAACCATGGTCTTCTGTAGCAAGAGTTTTCCCGCCTTGCCCACAGTCAGGACATATCTTTGTCACCAGCCAGTCCCACAGCTGCTCAGACCCAACCAAGTAAACACAGAGACTTATATTGCTTACAAACTGTATGGCCGTGGCAGGCTTCTTGCTAACTGTTCTTATAGCTTAAATTAATCCATTTCCATAAATCTATACCTTGCCACGTAGCTTACCGGCGTCTTCACATGCGGCTTGTCATGGCAGCGCCTGGCAGTGACTCCTTCCGCCTTCCTATTCTTTCTTTTCTCCTCTCTGTTAGTCCCGCCTATACTTCCTGCCTAGCCACTGACCAATCAGTGTTCTATTTATTGACCAATCAGAGTAATTTGACATACAGACCATCCCACAGCAGTATTCTATGAGTAGCAACAAGGGCTCTTAACCACTGAGCCAACTCTCCAGTCCCTCAACAACAACAAAATATCTACACGCATCTCTTCCTGCCAGCCAGGCAACTTTACTGTACATTCTCCTGAGGGCTGGTATGAATAGAAGACAGACTTTGAAATTCTTCCTTGTTAATCATGGACATTCTTTAAGATCTTAGTTGGTATAGGATGACAAAATCACAACAGAATACTTGAATAAATCTTGTGATTTGATTTAAAGTTTCTGTAAGGCATAGTTGGACTGCAAATGTTCCTTGATTTTTATTCAAACTAATTTTATAAAATTCAATAGGGATTTTCCATTATTACAGATGGTTAAAAAAAATCTAGCAGGTTATGACACTGAAAATTTTGAAACACACAAATAAGAGACACAGGAAAGTAAGCTTTTGGATAAGTTTGTAGCAGAACAAACTGACAATGGATTTTATTAGAGACACATGTTAGCACATATCTTCTTTTCTGGTCTCTGGGAATCTGGTGTAAAAATTGACTTTTTTTTCCCTCTTTACACGACTTTTGGGAAACCATTCTTCTAAAACGTAGGTGTTTTTCATAAAGAACACTTCTCAATCAGAATTGCCCAACCTCTGGGAAAGACAGTCTCTCAATTTTAAACTGGAAATATCTCAGTCCTTTCCCGAAATTCCCTGGTACACACTTATCCCCAGCTGAACACTGAGCCAGTCTGTGTTCTCAAATCTTGTTGAGAATGTAAACTTTGTAACCAGCTACAGCCGGCATCACTCTGGTAGAGGCCATATCCTTCTTTCCACTTAGTGTGGACACAAACTATATTTACCTCTTACAGACTTAAAAGCTATTAGAAAGCAGGCAGATATCAACTTTGGGTGTATACATTCCTGGGGCCAAGGTGCAGTGTGCTGACCACCACTGTCAAGCCGGTGTCTATGGCTGCCCAGCATGCTTATGACAGAGACAGTCAACAACACTGCTCAGATCTAGTTACAAGGGCATGAAGAGTAAGAACTCTTTCTATAATGACCAGCCAGACACACTTAGTATTTTATGGGAAGCTTTTCTAAGATTTCTAAAATTGACCAAGGTTTTCTTTCTGGACATCTTTCAGAGCTTCAGCTTTCACTTAGAACCACTGTGCTTGTTAGCAAGTGAAGAATCATTCAGCTCACACACTTCTGGACCTGTTAATTTCAGTGTTTACCACAGGAAGATGAGCTCTTCAAATGTCAATTGCAGGGTCCCCATCACATAGTGCTCCCAACTCCATTAGAGTAGTTTTGCTAATCTTTCCCTTTCGCTTAATAATATCCTATGGTCTTGGTCTTTTGGTCTTGGTTTGGGTAACCTCTGCCTGGCTAGGAAACCTCTCTCACTTCAGAATTTTGTCTCCATCTGTCTGTGTCTGTGTCTCCACGCCCCCTCCCCCATGTTTGCGTGTGCGTGTGTGCGTGTGTGCATGTGTGCGTGTGTGCGTGTGTGCGTGTGTGCGTGTGTGTGTGTGTGTGTATGTTTATCTCCCATGTACTTCCCTCCCCGAAGATCTTAGACTCTCAGTCAGGGACAACAAACTGGATTGCTCCAGGTTCTAAGAGTCAATAGCTGTCTTTAATTGGCAATCACATTAACCTAAAATTCAATTACAAATGGGAAAACATGGCAAGCCTTCTTCTTAAGAGATATATGATATAAAGAATTCAAGAAACTAGATATCAAAATACTGAACAGTCCAATTAAAAAATGGGCTAAAGAGCTAAACAGAGAATTCACAAATCAAGAACTACAAATGGCTGAAAGACATTTAAAGAAATGCTCAACATCCTTAATCATCAGAGAAATGCAAATCAAAACGACTCTGAGATACCACCTTACACCTGTCAGAATGGCTAAGATCAAAAACACCAATGACAACCAATGTTGGAGAGGATGTGGAGCAAAGGGAACACTCCTCCACTGTTGGTGGGAATGTAAACTTGTACAACCACTGTGGAAATCAGTATGGCGGTTTCTCAGAAAATTAGGAATCGAACTACCTCAAGACCCAGCCATCCCACTCTTGGGCATATACCCAAGGAATGCTGATTCATACCGTAAAGATACATGCTCAGCTATGTTCATAGCAGCACTATTTGTAATAGCCAGAACCTAGAAACAACCTAGATGCCCATCAACGGAAGAATGGATGAAAAAAATGTGGTACATATACACAATGGAGTACTACTGAGCAGAGAAAAACAATGAAAGCATGAAATTTGCAGGCAAATGGATGGAACTAGAAAAAATTATCCTGAGTGAGGTAACCCAAACCCAGAAAGACAGTCATGGTATGTACTCACTCATAGGTGGATTCTAGATATAAAATAAAGAACAATCAGAAAAAAAAAGAGATATGTGTATTCTTCATACAACACTAATTTCTTTTAAAGGTATATAGTACTTCTACAAATAACACAGCAGATGTCAGAGTAGTTAGAAGATGGGGAATATATTTAAATGAGAGTTCTGGCATCACTTTGCAACCTATGAACACTTATCTACACTCACAGACCTGCTATCTTGACAGAATAAAACACCATCCAGCTATGGCCTCAGTAAGATCTCAGTAAGTTCTTTTTCCTCCATTTTTTCTTTCATACTGTTTTCCAACACTGTTGATTTTCTTAACTTTTGGCAGGGTGTGTCTTAGCTTTGGCAAGCCCTTTTAAGTCCCTTGGAGATGAGTGTGTGTAATTCTAGCTTTCTTGTTCATTTATTCACACCATGTGTTCTTAGAACAAAAGCTATTGCATCTCTTGATGGCCCATGATGGGCTCTGTTGGAAGGGGGTTATTATTTTTAGGATTTACTCCCTTAAAAAATATGACTTTTCTGAATTGCAGCAGTGATAATTAACTTTGGGACGTTTATTTCTCCCTTGGTAATAGAAAAAGTGTTTATGCCCACACAATTTTTGTGGGAAAAAGAAAGATTTCTGCACAGCAAAATAATCCATCAACAAAATAAAAACTAGCTTACAGATTGGAAGAAAATATCCGAAAGCCATGGTTCACATATAGACTCAATGTCTAAAATATATAAAGAACTCCCATAACACTCTATAGCACAATAAGATGATTCTGACTGACAGAAATTAATGTAGCATTTCAAAATAGCTGACAGAGAGGAGTTCTAATACTCCCAAAGCAAAGACATTGCATATGTCTGAAGTGATACATGTGGCAATTATCCTGAACTCATCGTTACACTTTGCATATCTGTATTGAACTATAACTCCTAAGTATGTATAATCACCATCAACTAAAACCAAAATGAGACCTGATATTCTGAAACTACTAGAAGATGAAGAAGGGACTGCATTTCAACATTGAGGCATAGACAAGGAGGTTTTGAATAGGACTCCACAGTAAATAAAGCCAGCAAGTGGGGTCTCAGAAAACCTAAACACTTCTGTACAGCAAACAAAACCATAAACTTATGAAGAGACAGCTCACAGAATACGAGAAAATATTTTCAAGTTATACATCTGATAGAGAATTGGTATCTATAATACATAAGGAACTCGAAAACCACCACCACAACAAAACTAAACATTAAAAAAACAATCCAAGTAAAAATGGGCTAAATAGAGTTCTCAAAAGGAGAAATACAGATGTTCTTGGTAAACTGTTTCCTAACCAGTTTAAAAAGTGTTCAAAAACAACTGAGGAGATGGCTGAGTGCTTAAAAGACTTGTCACATAAAACTGAAACTTCAGATCCCTGGAACCCACTGAATTCCATGTGGGCATGCATGGTGACCCATCTATTATTCTAGCCTCAGAAGGCAAAAACACAGGATCCCAGAATAAGCTGGCACACAAGACTAACCATAACAATAAGATTTTATTAAAAAAAAAACCCTGTCTCAGTAAATACACTGGAAGAGTAATCCAGGATGATTTCCATATCAACCTCAGGCCTCTACACATGCACCTACACATGTAAACATGTATACATAAACACATGCACACTGTGTACATATACATAGAAGTGGAAGAATAGTCAACATTAGTCATCAGGGATGCACAATCAAAACTATCCTAAGATTCTATCTCACTTCAGTCAGAATGGCCATCATCTAAGTTTCAGATGTACTGCCAGAGAGACAACCTTGAGCCCAATTGGATAGTCAAATATAGCAACCAGAATTGTTCTCTGGGTCCCTTTGAAGGAGATTTTGTTGATGTTTTCTTAATGATACAAACGTTTCCCAATTCTTTCTAGAAGAAGGCAACAATACCAGCCTCAAGCACATATCAGCTCTCATTGAAAATTCCTAATGGCCCCTTATAACAAAGTTCATTGAGCATAATTTAGGAAAAGTTCTCTACTTGAAAATTATACCTGTTCAAATGAGTACATTTCAGATACGACACCTATTTTTCTTTCATATATTGCATGCATATGCATATAATAGTTTTCCATACAGAATAATTGGTAGTAATATCTCTGACCCTTCAGCCTCCTTCTCTATACTCATTATTTAGTCCTCAAATGTCTCATCTGCGAAATTCCTTACATAATCTCAGTACTGTATCACCCAGTGCTACTGTTCACTGAAGAGCCCCTGCTTACCTAATTGTGCCTTGAGAGCATCCGAAATCTCAAGCATTATGGATGTGGGAAGTTTTACCATGGAATCATTAAGTCCCGGAATAATAAGATGAACTGCAAGGAAATGGATATAAATGTAAAAAGAGGAAGAAAACCTATTAGACAAAAGTGGAGAATGGAGAATTATAAAGCAGAATTCAAAGGTTGACCCTTCCCTTCCTCCTTTGATTAACTTTAACTCCACATAGAAAATATGGGGAGGGGAATATGACTGCACCTTTTAAAATGGGTATGTTCCTTATCTAGAACTTACCACCAGAAATCCCCTGAGTTTACATTCATAGGCTCAAAACTTCTGCATGGGCTATACCCAAAATAAAGGCAGTGTGTCTTTACTGGTAGCTTAGACTGGGCACAAGCCAAGAAATGAAATGGAAATGAAATGGACTCACACTAATTTAGCACTTGCTCACAGTACACATCCCCATAAGAACCCTCTTATCAAAAGATAGCCTAGATTGCCTAGTCTAGATATACACTGCACGACTGACTTACCTAGTATTGTTCCTCCAAAAGGAGTCTTGTCTGGGGCTTTAGTTGAAGCCCTGTGGGTAACATTCTGAATCACTAGTGAGATATGAAAAGACAGTAGTGTGATGAGGATGAACACAGGAAGCAATAAAAAGCTAATTATGTAAAGTTACCTTTCCTTGTAGTCTTAATCTAAAATTTATCAATTAACAGAAGCAACTCAGTGGATTGGCTACAGAATCAACAGAAGAATTTGATGCATGTCTAACCTTACCATCCATGCTTTGGGGTAACAACGCATGTCCTTATCACTCCCTCATAAAGAATCTCATTCTAAGTAGTGGAAAATCCCCTCTGTCTCTACTCTCTGTGCATCCTGCCCTTTACACAAAGCAGTAAAGAACTAGAATACAATGTTGCAATAACAAGACAATATAAAATTAAAAAACATAAGCCAGGCTGTGGTGGCACATGCCTTAAATCCTAGCACTCAGGAGACTGAGGCAGGCAGACCTCTATGAGTTTGAGGCCAGCCTGGTCTACAGAGCCAGTTCTAGGACAGGCAGGAATACACAGAGAAACTCTGTCTTTAAAAAAATAGATTCAAAGCCGGGCGGTGGTGGCGCACGCCTTTAATCCCAGCACTTGGGAGGCAGAGGCAGGCGGATCTCTGTGAGTTCGAGGCCATCCTGGTCTCCAAAGTGAAGTTCCAGGAAAGGCGCAAAGCTACACAGAGAAACCCTGTCTCGAAAAAACCAAAAAAAAAAAAAAAATAGATTCAAAAACATATATCTTCAAATCAAAGAATCTTTCAGTGTTTCCAGCAGTAAGTGGCCATGCCTTTAGCATATACTTAGCACACTGTGTTTTCTTAAATTGCAGAACTATTTTAAGGCTTTAGCTCTTCTACCAAGAGATTTTTCTGGAAATAATAGATTCATTTTAATAACTTGAAAACTGGAAGCCAAAACAAAAACAACTGGACAGTTAAATGAAATACAGCATTGTAATTCTTAAAATATAGACATCTTTACTTCCCCTAAGTGACCGCTAAATCATAGTTTTCATTCTCAATATCCTAAATGGTCTAATTGTTTTCTTCATGTATGCTAATTTAATCCTAAGTAAGCTCCAAAGTAAAGCTCCACATGTTTAACTGATTATTTTTAATGTGACACATGGTATAACTGCTTTGTTGCCCAACTGGTAAGATCTGTCCAAGGTATCACAGCCAAAATTATGTATTAGCCACAAGTTTACTAAGTTACACTAGTTTCTTCAACTGTTTCTAAACACCATTGTCAGAAAAATTGAGAACACATACACTGTATGTTCAACTATATTAGTTCAACAGTTGACTATAATAGTTCCCGAATACAGCAGACTAATTACCTTGCTTGATGATTGTTATTGGGATTAGCTTCCTTGGGACATATGCTGGCTGGAAAGGGAGAGAGAGAAGGTCAGCTTTTACTTCAATGTTAATTTAAAAAAAAATCAGAATCCTAAGAGGAGCCCTTGTCTTCAATGAGGTCATCTGTGACAGGGATTTAGCAGTCACTGGATAGATATTTAGCACATACGTCTCCATTGTACTGAACTCATTTGTTTACCCCATAAGGAGCCAAAACCTCACAGAAGCAAGTCTTCAGAACTATCATTTACTTAGAAATTGCAGTGGAAAGAAACTAAATCCTTGATATATATAGAGAGAGTTCATTTTCATTTTGTTTGGCATGTGGCCCAGCCAAACACTGTCTTCATACTTCCTCTCAAAAAGATGCTGAACTACATATGATCTTTTAAAACCAATCAAGTCAGACTATTTGAGCATGACCTACTGGTGCTGCTGTTATAGCAGATACTACAATTACCATGAACTCTTAGCCTCACCCTTTATTACCCAAGAGGGAAGAATAGGTACTCAGAACTAGATCTCTCTTAAAATTGAAGCTGGTATGGATTATATGTCTTTCTCTCACCCAAACTGTCTCTGAAGTCCTTTGGGATATTTTGACATCATACAGTGCCCAGGGATGGGCTTAGACTTTAAAGTGGGGTCATTGCCACACACAATTCCATGGCCAAAGGTGGGGCAGAGGAGAGAGGGGAGAAGAGAGGGGAGGAGAGAGGTGAGGCAAGGGGTGAGGAGAGGGGAGGAGAATGGCAGGAAGTTCAAATAGGGGATTAGAGTTCAGTTGTTGAAAGAGTAAGAATGGCTATTTTTTGGCAGTTGGTTTAACTCAAATACACAGAGTAGACACAACATGTACCGATCTGCCTGTTTTGAATGTGACTGAATGTGAGACATTAACAAAATAGGCATTCATGGTTGTGAATAAAAAGTGTGGTAACATGTTATCATTTTTTCAGGGTGATCTAATAAGACATGGTAAAGAGGGGTCCCTAACACCAACCTTACTCTTGGCTATTTATCTTCCTATATTATGTTTAAAAAATGTAAAAATAATTTATTCTCACCACTGGATATTTGTTTTTAAAGGATAATCTCTAATCATTGACCCAGTGATTTCTCTTACCATGCCAGCCTAACTACTCAAATCAGGTACAGACAATCACGTGTGTGATCACATGTATTAGTACAATTGAAAACAACGTCATTACCCAAAGTTCAGGTTCTACTCAATAAGCTCAATATAACCCAATTTTATAACACACGCATCTTTATACACACATACATACATGCATACATAAAACAGACTGGAAGGAAACACATCATAATTTGAGCTGTAATTATTACAAACTCATTAATTTTTGTGCAAGTTACTTTCCAAGTTCCTTAAACAAGTGAAAACTGTTTTCATGTTACTTTCATGTCACCCATGCTTCCAGACTGCACTTTAGGTCATCTACCACTGGTGGACAGGGCAATGATTGAAAAACAACTTTACCATGATTTTCCCAAGGCAAGAGCAGGGCAGCCATATGAATAGGAGCACAAGAGAAACAAACATTCATAGCAAAACCAGTGTTGTCAGTTGTGAGCTCACACTGGCAGAAAGATCCCTTCTGGCTTCATCACTGTGGCATGTGTACACAGTTCCCACTGAGGACAGACAGGTCCCTGCCACTCTATACTGCCCCCGACACCCACCTTCATAGCAGCCCCGACACAGCTCTGCTTGGGCTGTGAAAGCAGTCTCAGCATAGTCTCCACCTGCCACTTCTAAGAACGCTGTGTTTACATCCACACAGTTCACATTTGGTTTTCTTGCAATTCATAGCTTTTCATTTGTTTATAAGTATGTAATGCTTATGACATACAATGTGATGTCTTGATGAAGTTATACTACGTGACCCGTCATTCTTGCGGTGAGACATTTTTAACGTATTTCAGTAAATTTGATTGTTGCTTTCTAGTGTATGATCATTCTCAAAAAAAAAAAAAACCCTCTTCCTCCTGTCTAACTGAAACTTTAACATTCCACCCTTCCTCAGTGTTCTTCTTCCCACCCTTGGCCACCACTGAATTCTCTACATTCATGAGATCAAGACTTCTGAGAATTCTACATGTCTAGTGGAGCAAGCTTCAGTTACAGGAGAGCCTCTCCTGTGTAGGAAGCCCAATTATCTGTCTAGTGCTAATAGGTCAGGTCTATGGCTACAGTTACAAAGGCATCTGAACACCCTGCTCATTTACCCTACGAGTCCTATTATAGTATTTTGTAGAATGAGAGGTTTCTCAAAGGCTGTTAACACACTATAGCAGAAATGTCTACACACGGCTGTGTTGATCGCCTTTGAACTGAATCCCACCAATTTACAGTTCTTATGCTACAGTGATTTGTCTTGCACAACCTTTTTTTTTTTTTTTTGGATAAATGGAACTATTCCACTCATCACATGAATGGAAAAAAGTTTCTGTTCTGAGTTCTTGCTTGAGAACTGACAAATGTTTTATTAAGCTGACAAGAATATAGGTACAGGGTGTGCTGCCAAAAATAAGGAAATGATTTAGCTGCAGAATGCATTTCTTTCTAGACCTGTAATTGCTCTCTTTCCTAATCTGTAATCCAAAGACAAAGACTAGACCAGTGAACAGATATCCACATCTCAGCAGATAGGTTTCTTTTGACAGGATATTAAGAAAGTTCAGCTATTCAATATATCCACCAAAGACTAAAGGTCCCACCAAGAATTCCACACTGTGAGTCTTTCCTCTGTGTCTGCTTATGAAGCAGAAGGAAACAGCTGTCACTTTAAATCACTAGGAAACAAAATATGATCATTTTTAAGACACCAAAATTTAATCAATTATAGCCTAATTTCATTTGAGTTTTATGTTCAATGCTTAAAAAAAAGATACCACTACCCTTCCCTTGTTCTCATAGGCTGGTTCCTATGGACATTGATGAATATATGCTAGAGCCATGGGTATAGACCTATGGAACTAGGGTTTGGGAAGTGGGTGGCAACAGGCTTTCAAGCTGCCATGCAGTGTGGCCTGGTGGTGTACTATAGTTTGAATATGTCCCTCAAAGTAGACATATTAAAAGTTTAACCTCCAATACAACAGTATTAGCAGGCATAAACTAAAATAGGTGACTGGATCATGAGAGATCTCTGTTGCTAGGGAGTGGGTTAGCCAACAATACCATGGGCTTCCAGATTATTCTTTTTGGTTTCTTGTCAATTCGACACAACCTAGAATTATCTGGGAATAGGAACCTCAATTGAGAAAATGCCTCCATCGGATTGCCTGTAGGTAAGTGTGTGGGGTCATTTTCTTGATTAATGATTGATGTGGGTGGGCCCCAGCCATGGGTACCATACCAATCCTGGGCAAGTAGTGTTGAATTGCATAAGAAAGCAGGCTGAACAAGCTGTGGGAGGCAAGCTTTCCTCAATGACTTCTGCTTCAGTTTCTGCCTCTAGGTTTCTCTTTGAGCTACTGCCTGACTTCCCTTGGTGACAAACTGTAATCTGTGAGGCGAAATAAACACTTTCCTTCTCAAATTGCTTTCAGGCATGGTGTTAACCACAGCAATAGAAACCCAACTAAGACACCAATAAAAAAAAAAGCCAAGTTTGCCAACATCTCCCTCTTTTCCTTTCGCTTCCTGCCACAGGATAATGTATCATGAAGTCTCTCATCAGGTGCCAGCTCCTTGATCTTAGACTTCCCAGCCCTTAGAATTATATGAAGCATACATCTATGGCCATTATGAATTACCCAAGTCTGTGGCATCTTGTTATGGCCACGCAAAACAACTAAATAAGACAGCTACAGGTGCAATACTGCTGCCCACCAATAGCGCGGCTCGTAGGCAGTCCCTCTGCTCTCTCTCTTTGCTCTTCAACTTGTTGGTCCCCAATCTTGTGGCAACATCCATCACTATGTCTTTCTACAATTTCTATCCTCCTCATTTAGCAAATGTTTTCTGAACGTTTACAACACATCAGGAGATAAATATAAGCCTCACGGCTCTGTAAGAGATAAATCACCCCTTTTTTCTCCAAAAATCCTGTCTCTTTAAAGACATCTTCGGTTGTACTAGCCTTGAACACGGTGCTATAACCATTGTGCTATACCCAGATCAGGGCAATCACAGAGTTTGAAGCTGGTGCTGTTCAGTGTGTAAATAACACTAAGATAGAAAGAGAAAACCAGTGGAGATAAACTGAGTGTGGGGTTCCTATCATTCTGTTGTATTATTGGCATGACCAGAGAAGGCCTTTGACTATGTAGAAACAAATACAGCAGAAGCAGCCACACAAGAGTGTTAAATTCACCTTCTGCACTATACCAACTCCCTCCTGATAGATACTATATTGAAAGTTAGCTTTCATTACTATCAGTGCTAATTGAGGAGGCTAGTATCAGGTTTGTCCATTTGGCATTTTTATGGTATCAGAGTGCCCATTGAGGATTTAATTTTATTTTCAGGGCCTGGGATGTTGCAACTGTCCACTTGGGAGGAGTTAGGGGTTTTCAAAATATAATTTCAAGGACTCAAGAGCTAAACCACATGAGAAGCACTTAGTCATTTTAAATTCTGCTTTTAATTCATTTTAGGATGTTCTAATGAAAGTTACAAAACATACTGTTTCAGTCTAACATCTGGCTAAAAATGATTCTAACATGCTCCCTCTTTGAAAGTCTTCAAGTTTCTGGTTAGCTGAAATAAGACATAAACCTCTGGTGGTTGTATGTGTGTGTTCGTGTGTGTTGTGGTGTGTAAATGTGTGCATGCATATTTAAACTTAAGAGAACAGCTGTTAAGAGAACAATGAAGGGTGCTTGTTATATTCATGCTATATAATTTTAAGATGTAAGTGGGCCACAAGGTCATTCTCTTTGTTAACTTATCTGATCAGTCTTACACTTTACACATTCATACCACTTTAGTGAAACCCCATGAACGTGTATTGGAGGAACAGATATGGGCCCCATCAGACCTGCTGTGGGATGTGGAGTACGTGGTACTGATAAGACTTCAGGTCATCACGCAGTGTGGGCTGGTATGGTGCTATGGTTTGAATGTGCCCTTCAAGAACATGTGATAGAAACCTCCAGTGCAACCATGTTGAAAAGTGGGAATTTTAAGAAGAGACTATGAGGGCTCCTCCATTTGTGGGAGTAACTTTCTTAAAGTGAGTTGATTTTGAATGGAAAATGAAAGGGTAGAAATAGCATCGTAGCTAAAGGAACACAGATTTCAGGAAAGTTGCATCAAATAATTTTACATTTCAAAATATATTCAAATGTAGTACATACTTCAATAACTGGTATTGTTTATTGAATAAATTAGATTTAAGAATTTTTAAAGAGAAAATGTGTTTAAATTTAAGCCATTTGATTTTTGAATAAAACCTAGTAACAAGCATTTAGGTAATAGACATTTATTTTCATAAAAAGAATGTAATCTATTGCGTTCAAGGAATAAATAAAAATATTACACTAAAAAGGGATATAATAAAAAGAGGGGTGGAATATAATCAAGGAACACAGCCCACAGAATCAACTAACCTGGGCTCATATGGGCTCACAAACTGAAGTGACAATCAGGGAGTCTACATGGGTCTAACCTAAGTCATCTGCATATATGCTATGGTTGTGTAACTTCATGTCCTTGTGGGACCACTAACTGTAGGAACAAAGGCTGTCTTTAACTCTTTTTGCTGCTTTTGGGACCCTTTTCCTCCTACTGAGTTGCCTCATCCAGCCTTACTAGGAGGGGATGTACCTAGTCTTATTATAACTTGATATGCATGTTTGGTTCATATCCCCGAAAAAACCTGCATTTTCTGAAGGGAAAGAGGAGTGGATCTTGGGGGGAGAGGGGATGTCAGGGGAGGGGCTTGGAGAAGAGGATGGGGAAACTGTGGTTAGAATATAATATATGAGAAATGAAAACGAAAAAATAAATATAATAGACTCTGAAAAAATAAAAAACACAAATATTATGATAAATATTTTCTTTCTTATATGCATTTCAAATGATGCATTTATGTTATATATGAAAAAAATGAGAGTATTTTTTATGCTCATTCTTCACTATTTTAGAGGTAAAGATAGGAGTAACATCGTTGAAGGCATTTAACAATTGAGAAAGCAAAGATACTAACCAACCAGTCAGAAGAGACCCTGCCACACATCCCTGAATAATTTGTGTGGGGCCTGCCAGAGGAATGTATGCCTGGATATATAAATTATAGTATGCAATGTGACCAGGGCATAAGATGGGGTGGTTTAATACACAAACTTTTAGCTTAATTATTATTTATCTTTTTAAAGGGACAGCCTAATGTTAAAATACTTTCCCTGTATCAAATACTTCTTTTAGTAGGGTATAAGGATATTTTGTGGTTTCAAAGGTTTAGACATGAGAATATTGCATGAAAGCAGTCTTCAAGTCTTTTACTTAAAACTTAAAAGACATTGCATTCCTCTTGAAATACTGCCTGTTAAGATCAGTTCATAGCAGATATGGGTGAATACTTGGAGAAAGACTTGATTTGGACTGAAATATATACAATCTGAAATATCAAAACAGCTTCATAATGGATTCTGTGGGACACATGGCCAATGGCTATCCCATGTGGCTCCTTTGCAACTTCCCCATGTCTCAGGGCTTCCTGAGAGCACAGAATTTACTTCATGAAACACTTTTCTGCTATTCAAAGGATGCTCATAAAGAGTGTCACAGAAGAGCGTTGAAGCATCTTTTCAATGAACTTGGGTTTTCCTTTGGAAATAACCGAGAGTTTTAAAGTACAGCTCATCACAGCTGGCTGGATTTGGGGGTGCTCCACCTCACACATGGAAGTGATACAACTTTGGCTCTGTATCACAGATGTAGGAACCTCCGCTCTAGCCCTATCACAGCTGTTTATGAAAAGGAAAAAAGATATTAAATTCTGCTGTGGTCATGTACCAACCATCTTTCCCAATCTCACCGAGTGATGCATCCTACATGAGGCATTCTGACCAAAATAAATAAAAATGATTGACATGTGGAGTTGTAAAAGAAAGAATGAGAGAAATGACATCAGCAAGTCACATAAAGATTATGCAAGGCAGACAAGAGGGAAGGGGATAAGATTTGCTCCCTAGGAAACCATTTACAACAAAGCATGAAGAATGTTCTACAAGAGGATGAAACTGTGTCTTGCTGTTCCTCCTGTGCAATGTAGCAGGTTGGTTTTTCTTTTATAATACTGACTGAACTCCAGAGAAACTGAATCAAAGAGACCTTAGAGAGTATCGTTATTCGATCCATGCTACTAGACCAACTGACCACTTAGAAAATTGCAGAGCCTTACTGTACACCACAGTGAAGCAAAACCCACAGATTTTAGAGTTTAATTGTTGTAAAAAACTGAAATTAAAAAGGGAGACGTGTATTTATCTTTTGTCTGGAGAGGGAAAGGCTTTGAAAACTGTAGCACAGCTAAAGATCCAATGAAAGTCTAGTCTTTGGATGAAGTATATTTCAAGATGTGATTCTCTTAACAATTCCCACCAACCAAGTTGATAGCAAATGTAAGAAAAATATTTCTAGATGGCATTGCAAAGGATTCTTTAGGTTACGAAGTCTTAAACTGGTCAGGAAAAAAGTTCACCCAATTCCCAGTTAACTAAGAGTCACAACTAAAGATCACTAAGTGGAAAACAAAAGCAAAGATAGTTCTACTTTATCAGCATTCACAGAAATGAAAATTAATATAATTTTTAAACTATTAGCCAAAATGTTAGCAATAGAAATACACACTATTGAGAAGCAGGATAAACTCTTATTAACTACTTGAAAGATCATAAGCTAGGATAACCTTAGAAAGAAATTTGTCCATTAGTACTAAAGAGCCTTAAAAACCTAGCCTGGCGGTGGTGGTGCATGCCTTTAATCCCAGCACTCAGAAGGCAGAGCCAAGTGGATCTCTGTGAGTTCGAGGCCAGCCTGGTCTATACAGCGAGATCTACAACAGGCACCAAAACTATACAAAGAAACTCTGTCTCAAAAAAACAAAAAACAAAAAAACAAAAAACTGAACTCTTAATAGGAATTTATATCAAATTAAAAATCAATTAGAATTAATTAAAATGCCTATAACCTGGAAACTGATTAAAGCAATAATCATATAATTTAGATTATACAATAGAAAATAATGTCATAAATTCCAGGTTGGACTGGGATGCACATCCTGCATACCAACCCAGCCCTATGTCCACAAGACTTCCTTCCACCTGAGCCATATCTAACTTAGAGGCTCAAACTCTCCTTCACATCCTGTGTCCTGTTCTGACCTGCTTTGCCCATATCAAACACAGAACTAACAAAGGAATGAACAAAATCTTGAATACTCTAAAATATTCAAATACTAGAATAAATGCATTGAATCTCTGAATTGTAGCACTTCAAACAAACTAGAAAGGGTTTGGAAGCACATATATAATATATACATTTATATAATTATATATTTATATAGTTGTATTTATATAATTATATATACACATTATATATATATATATATAATTTTCAAAACAAAAAGCAGCTAATTCCTAAATTATTAAGCATTTCACCCAGTGACCAATAGATAACCTTAGTACCTCACAATACAGTTGTCTTTCTCATCTAAGTAGAAACACAATGCAGATATAATTATTTTTAAAGAACAACCTTAAAAATAAATTGGCACCTACCACTGTGTGGACCTGGTCATAAGTGCTTTGGATTTTCCCATTTACTTTATTTTTACCTGAAAACAAGAAGGAAATGGCATTATTTTTATTCTTCTTGCTCATTAATCAAGTCTAACTCATCGTGGGGACAATTTGAAGTCACATTCTCAATTTTGGCATGTACCTTCATTTAGTGCCATTTCAAACATTGATCCCAATGATGTGTGTGTACAAAGGTAAGGAAGAGAAGTCCAGGGCTCCCTGTAGTGGGTTGTGTCTACTTCCACAGGCCCACCACCCCTTGTGATTGGTTACACATACTGGCATTTTATTTGTTCAGCTCAGCTGCTGTTCACAGGGCAAAGATATATTTTAAAATACTATAATGACATCACTGGAAACATCAAGTTGTTCATTATCTATTTATAAAAATCACACTATAAAAATTTCTGAAATATCAACGTTTAAATTCTATTCATTTGTATTTTCTTAAACACTAGAACGTGTTAAATATTGGAAATAACTGGAAATGAACTTATTTCATATTATACAGCTAGTGAAGTGACTTAAAGTGGACAATTAGAAAAGAATAAAAAGCTTTATTGGATCAAGAGGATACTCACTTCCAACAACAGTCTTATGGTTGAAAACCTTGCTCCAAATTCCACCGTCCATGTTGTCTTTCACACCAAATTCATAAACCGTGTTGGGCTTGAGATTGTCCACAATTGTTTCAGTAGCTGGACAGAGTTGAAAAATCCATTTCTTTTCTTTATCTTTTTCTCTATATCGAATTGTATAAAATCTGTTGAATAATGAAAATAAGAAGTTTGAAAAACACCCGGATATGCAAAATGTAATTCCAATTTTCTAAGATCTGTTTTAGTTATGTGTACATGCATCTCAATTGTGACTAGATGTGCACACGTGTATGCAGGTGCATGTGTGTCTGAACCCAGGAAGCACTGCTGGATCTCTCAGGACTAAGGTTACAGGCATTCGCGGGATGCATGGCCTCCCACATAGGTGCTGGGATCTGTACTCTGGTCCTCATGAATGGCAGTTAAGAACTCTTAATTGCTGAACCATCTAGTCAGCTCCCTCAAGCTTATTAACACACAACAGACTTCAACCAGAAGACTCCATTGAATGTTGGACTGCTCAGATTGTTTTTTTTTTTTTAAGCTTAAGAGAGCATGTGTGTTTTCATTCTAAATTTTAAACTTCAAGTCAGGTGCCAGCAGAATTTCAGAAGTCTCAGCACAATCATTAGCTACTGACAGAAATGAAAGAGAAAATTCTAGATAGTCATCCCTTCCCAGCTGCAGAGAGAACAGAAGCTAGGTGTTATAAATGGTATAGTCATTTCATAATTTGCAGGAGTCAAGCCTTCTCGTGCCGGGAGGGTGTATCAAAAGGAATACTTCTCAATTTGTAAAAGACAAACCTGAGGATTTATGTCATATATAGGACTGCTTTCTAGGAGGAAAATGTAATTATTGTTATATTAAAAAGGTAAATTTAATAGAGGTACAGTAAGAATATAGAACATACATATAGAACATACATGTAAGATTGCCGTTACCTATTTGCTCCAGGCTGTATAATCCTACAACTTGGATATCACAGTAAGAGAGTCCCCCAGCACTAGGCTTTGCGTGTCTTGTCTATGCTAGGTTTGGCTGTCTCATTCAACTATCACAAAAATATCTTGAATGGCAGAAAGTATTAACCCTGTTTTATGAATGTAGACACTGGCTTTTAGGACCATCACCTGCCTTTCCCAGTATGGCCAGTTAGTGTCCTTACCTCGGACAACAGAAGAATGACAGTCCAAAGAAAGCTCCACTGGCTGTGGTTTGAACAGCCCCCTAACCAGGTTGCAGGCCTGGAGAGCAAGTTTCACACTACTTTACAGACTGACGAGGACACACTGGCAGAGCAGCTACTAACACAGGTATACACAAATGCCGCACTGGATAAAATGGCAAACTGCAAAATCAACTGTATGCTTTCACATCATTTCCAGGACTACGAACATGAAATTTTTCCATATTGTCATTCTTAACATTATAAGGAGGCAACTAATAGTGGGAGAATGTCATATTTATAATAGAACTTCCATGTCTGGTGAGCAGGCTAGGAAATGAATAGGTATCAGTTGTGGTATTGACAGGTAAGTAATTCCTTTTTATTTTTAAATAAATATTTTTAACCAAGAGAGCAACATAATAGCTATACCTATGATGATGGAACACAGTAACTATATACTACTTCAGGGCTTTTATATATTTTTTTTCTCAAATTTAGAATGATTCCCCCTACTCCACACCTATCAAAGCTAAATTAACACCCAAGTTAACTGGTTTTATTTATAGATTTTAAGGTCACTCACTCAGGGTAAAAACATTTACCAGACACCCCCTAATAACTAAGCTTACTAAAATGTTCTTTGGTTTTCCTAGGTACACTTTCTTGAAGATACAAATAGAGTTAGTTGCCTTTAGTCTTAGGAAATAGGGGCCAGGACTGAAGATAAAGTATGGACTTTGTAAAATAAAAAGGCAGAACCTTTGTTGAAAAGTATCTGAGAATTTTCAGATAGTAATGACAGAGTATTAAGCCAAAATTCAGCACTTCTAAGTATGTAGGGGAGAATCTGTGCCCAACCCCGACGTACATAAAGTCAGCAAGGGCCTTAGAGTTAGGGGAGAGCCTTTGTATATATGGCCTACTTTCTTACTAGTTGCAGAGCCTGAAAATGCTTGCAGGCAGTCATTTAGCTTGCTTTTTTTTTTTTTTTTTTTTTAGTCCAGAACCACCGACCCAAGGGAAATCCAATGTCTAGAATTTATTTATTTTTTTTTTTTTTTTTTTTTTAACCAGTAAAAGTTACTCTTGGGCTCGAATCCCCCATTCCAAAATAACAGAAAGCCCAATGATTGAACGGGACTGTTCCAGCCAGAACACTCATTGCTACCAGTAACAAATGTTAGATGATAGAGTCCTCTGTGTCTTGTAAGTCAAAATCTCAACAGTGATTAATGAAATGCATTGCTTGACAAGAATGCTACATGGAATTTTTGTTGCCCTCCCCCTTTCCACCATGTCCTGGCTCTTAAAGGACCTTAGAGAAATGCTGAGAAGCTAAAATCAGAGCAGATGCCCCACCCCCCTCAACTTCGCCTTTCTAGTACAGATGTATTCCTGAGGATTTAACTCCAGGCATGAGTCAGGATCTTATTGCTAGCTGAGCTGCCAAGGATCAAATCCAAGGCTTTCTAATCAGCTTGATTTTATATAGCCTTCCAACAAAGAACATGGGACAGAATGCTCCATGGTTTTCAAAGATCCTCAACTTCACATTTAAAAACAAAAACAAAAAACAGCCCGTAAAGTTCTTCTATTTTAATTACAATATCCTCTCTCATACCAAATTTTTCATGTATACAAGCTACCATACCTTCTCCTCTACAACAGTCTAACTGGCCTTCCTCAACACATCTAAGTTGATAATTACATAAGGTAGGAGGCTTCTAAGTCTTAAAGAAAAGAGTAGGCGTTATACTGAAAGTAGTGAATTGAATTCTTCTTGAGTTTAAAATGAACTATCGGTCTCTTGAGACTGGATACTGCTTTATAATCTGACACTCAGTTATAAAGATTGTGCAATGAGCAGGATTGATGTCTAGTTTTTCCTTTAGGTCATTTTAAAATTAGAAGTGCTTTCAATGCAGTATTTCAGCCATCAGCAAAGACCAATTTAAGTATTGGGTCTACAATTCTATTTTTGCAATTTTTCCTTAGGGTCACTCAACAAAATAAACCATTCCCCTAAAATTGTCACAAGTTGAGGCAAAATACAATAAAAGCTTGCTTGTATTACAGAAGATCTGTGATTCTCACTTGTTGACTCCAACTAGTCTGTTGAGATAAAAAAATCTTAGTAAAGCAAGACCTTACAGAGTCAGAAGAGGCCCCAGAGCAGCTACAGCTGAATAATCAAACCCTTCATCCTCTTTTGTGAGTCCTGAGCTATACTTCTGGTCTGCCATGAGTTCTCTTTCTGCTGTGGTACTTGGCAAAAGTAAATGAAAATAAACATAAAATGACCCATAATCAGAGAGTAGTCAATTTAGTATTGTTCAAATCTTTTTAACTTATTTTTACTGTATATTCACCATATTCGATACATAGTCAACCTTCTCCTCATTGTCTGAGAACGTTCAGGATCAAATGTTGTTTGTGTGAGTTTTTGCTAGTAATTTTGAGCTCAACCATATTAGAGAGGCTCTGGGTCTTTTTAAAATAGAGAGAGTGAGCTGGAGCATGGTGATGCTCACTTGCAATCGAAGCACTAACCTGGGAAGATCGTGAATGCAAGGCTATCCTGGGCTACACAGTGAAAACCTCTTTAAAAAAAATAGTGCCTTAAAGAGTAGGTAGTAGCTTGACCATTAGTCCACTACCAACAACAGCGTGACCTCAGAGAAGCTGTTTCTTTGTACAAATAAACTTTCTCAAGAGGTTTTGTACTAAACACCTTTTGAGACTCTGTTTATAGAAGTTTATTTCAGCAACAGATTAGATATTCTATTCTAAAACTCTCCCTGAGGCAAAAACTAAATTTGTGATGTAGCGGCAGGCAGTGAACTATAATTAGGAGGAAAGTGAAGAACATCATAATTAGTTTATTCCTCGAAAACTCTCCCATCATTAGCCACTTTATGGACTCACACTTTTTCAGGAAGACTTGCATTTGACACAATTGTATTCCCCCCAAACATGGGCACTGTATATTTTCCCCATCCGTGTACTAAAAGATTCCTCCCAGCACCCCATTTGTTAATGTCCTTGTTTCACAGTGGCTGGAGCCACTGAGAGTCACTCCATCCTCTCAGTATCGCACCTTCCTTTACTCTAATGTCAGGAGAGTAGACTTCCTGGTAATTTATACCACATTCTTACTTTGTAAGCACATCAACCTTTCCTTTGATCTCCCAAGGAAGTTGTGTAGGTGTTTTGTGATCTACCAAAGCAACAATAAAATGAACGCTTTCTGAACCCTGTCAATGTGTTTCACTACAAGCATAATCTTCTTTTTTCCACCTTCTTAATAATAAAAATATCCATGTACCGTTATACTCTGTTGTGTGCCATCTTTAACAGACTGAATCTTCTAATGATAAAATACAATGAATGAACTAAGCCTCCTTCTTCTGAGTCCCTTACTCCTTCATCTTTTTTCAGACCCATGTATTCTTCCTCACATTATTTCTCATGCACTCATCTTTTCTGTTCTTACAAAGCATTTAGTATATTATCTTTGAATGCTTGTGGTAATTTTTAAGCTGATCATCTGGCCAATAATTCTATAGAGAAGATAATAGTTTAGAAAATTCTACTGGTTTAGTTAGTAATTATTAGATCATTGATGACAAACACATCTCAGTGAAACAGAGGGAAGGGGGTGTGAGCCAGTAAAAAATGGATGGGGATGCTGTAAAAATCAAGAACATAGGAATCACCTTGAAGATTAAGGAAAGAGATAAAAAAAGAAGTGTGGAAGACAGAACATAATCAAGAGAAGTTTTCTTAGGGATGATGTGGCTATGGAAACCTTGAATCTGTTTGTACACAGGAGGCAGGATACCAGTGGCATTGAAGGGGTGGCTGAAAGAGAAGAGACTGACCATGAAGGAGCCAAAGGCTTAAAGGATATTGGAAGAAATGGAATCAGGAGTGCTGAAGTCAGAAATGTGATCCTTGGAGGAGAGAGATGTGAACAGAGGTAAAGATGAAATT